CAAAACTCTGTCTCATAAAAAAAAAAAAAAAGCTGGGCGCGGTGGCTCAAGCCTGTAATCCCAGCACTTTGGGAGGCCGAGGCGGGTGGATCATGAGGTCAAGAGATCAAGACCATCCTGGTCAACATGGTGAAACCACGTCTCTACTAAAAATACAAAAAATTAGCTGGGCATGGTGGTGCGTGCCTGTAATCCCAGCTACTCAGGAGGCTGAGGCAGGAGAATTGCCTGAACCCAGGAGGCGGAGGTTGCGGTGAGCCGAGATCGCGCCATTGCACTCCAGCCTGGGTAACATGAGTGAAACTCCGTCTCAAAAAAAAAAAAAAAGCTTGTAAACCCCTTGTATTAGTTCATTTTCAAACTGCTATAAAGAACTACCTGAGACTGGTTAGTTTATAAAGAAAAGAGGCTTAACTCACAGTTCTACATGGCTAGGGAGGCCTCAGAAAACCTACAATCATGGTGAAAGGCAAAGGGAAAGCATTACATGGTGGCAGGAGAGAGAGCAAGTGGGGAAGTGCCAAACACTTTTAAACCATCATATCTCGTGAGAACTCCCTCACTATCACGAGAACAGCATGAGGGAAATTTGAACCTCTGATCCAATGTGGGGATTACAATTCAAGATGAGATTTGGGTAGGGACATAGAGCCCAACCATATCACCCCTCAAACTCCTTCGCCTTACAGATGAGGAGGAGAAAAACTACGAGAAAGAGAAAAACTGCCCTCAGGCATGCAGGATCAGATCCATACAGCATTTCAAGTGATTTCCATAGTTCTTTCTACAATGATTTCTATTCAGGGTGGGTGCAGTGGCTCACGCCTGTAATCCCAGCACTTTGGGAGGCAGAGGTGGGAGGATCACCTGAGCCCAGGAGTATGAGACCAGCTGAGCAAGAGAATGAGACCTCATCTCTTCTATTTTTTTTTTTTTTTTTGAGACAGAGTTTTACTCTTTTTGCCCAGGCCGGAGTGCAATGGTGCGATCTCAGCCCACTACATCCTTCACCTCCTGGGCTCAAGTGATTCTCCTGCCTTGGCCTCTTGAGTAGCTGGGATTACAGGTGTGCGCCATCATGCCCTGCTAATTTTGTACTTTTAGTAGAGACAGGGTTTTACCAGGATAGCCGAATTGGAGACCTCATCTCTTTAAAAAAAAAAAAAAAAAGCTGAAGTCTGTCTGTTTGGATTTGGGGTCTGAGCATCATACTGTGTGGCCCGAGGCATGTGTTAAACCACTCTGTGCCTCTGTAGCGGGGGGAACAGAGAGCTGCTTCTCACAGGGTGCTGAATGGTCAGTGTTTGGCACTTAGGGCAAACTGTAGCTGAGTAGCTTCCAGGTGCCTGATACTAGTGGGCCCTCTGCAAAGTTTTGCTTTGCTTGTGTTCTCTTCATTTAATCCTGGCTCTCTCTGCCTGTGCTGATGCCCCTCCTTCTGCCCTCCTGCCATCACAGTTCAACAGCTTTGAGCAGCTATGCATAAACTTCACGAACGAGAAGCTGCAGCAGTTCTTCAACCACCACATGTTCGTGCTGGAGCAGGAGGAATACAAGAGGGAAGGCATCGAGTGGGTCTTCATCGACTTTGGCCTCGACCTGCAGGCCTGCATTGACCTCCTGGAAAAGGTGACCTGCTTCTCAAAGGAGGGGCTTGGAAAGAGGCCAGGGCCAAGGGATGTCACTAGGGCATGCAGAGAGGTGGCATCTGGCTTCAGGGAAGTCAGTGACACCACCGATGACCTTCATTGCTATGACCTCTAGCTCCCCATCTGCAAAATGGGTACTGTAGTGACTGCAATGACTACTGTTCATTGGGTTGTTATATGTCCGCATTCATTGGATCATCATAACCTACTGTATATGGGGGAAGGGATACTTTTATTATACCCATTTCACAGATGGGAACACTGAGGCACAGAGAAGGGAACTTGCTTGTCCAAGGTCCCACAACCTGTGAGCAGCAGAGTCAGGCTTTGACCCAGGCAATATAATAGTTTTGCCTATAACCATATCCACATGGAAGGTTTTAGCAAATGGTCTCTTTCAAGAATGTGTGTTGTGGCTGGGCACAGTGGCTCACACCTGTAATCCCAGCACTTTGGGATGCTGAGGCGGTGGGCCTGAGGTCAGGAATTTTGAGACCAGCCTGGCCAACATGGTGAAACCTTGTGTCTTTTTTTTTTTTTGAGACAGAGTTTCACTCATGTTACCCAGGCTGGAGTGCAATGGCGCGATCTCGGCTCACCGCAACCTCCGCCTCCTGGGTTCAGGCAATTCTCCTGCTTCAGCCTCCTGAGTAGCTGGGATTACAGGCACGCGCCACCATGCCCAGCTAATTTTTTGTATTTTTAGTAGAGACGTGGTTTCACCATGTTGACCAGGATGGTCTCGATCTCTTGACCTTGTGATCCACCTGCCTCGGCCTCCCAAAGTGCTGGGATTACAGGCATGAGCCACCGCGCCCGGCAGAAACCTTGTGTCTAATACAAAAATTAGCTGGGTGTGGTGGCGGGTGCCTGTAATCTCAGCTACTCAGGTGGCTGAGGCAGGAGAATCACTTGAACTTGGGAAGCAGAGGTTGCAGTGAGCCGAGATCACACCACTGCACTCCAGCCTGGGCAACACAGTCAGACTCTGTCTCAAAATAAAATAAATTAAATTTAAAAAGCAGAGAGCACAGGTGGCATTGACTTCCCCATTTTTCAGAAGGCCAAGCTTGCCAGGGGCCGCTGTTGAGGTGGGATTAGCATTGGAGGAGCTATCTGGCCCCTTCAGATCTCAGTCTTCCCTTCTGTTGCACTTAATGAATTCCAGCCTCCTTCAAGTACTAATGGCCATGGTGTTTGATGACAAGACCACGGAGCACCAGGCACTGTTCCCATATGTCACTGCGCAAAGTCCTGCTTCCTGGATGGCCATATGGGTGTCTGGTGCATCTCTACACTGGCCCCAGGTTCAGTGCCAGTGTGGCCTCTTTTGGGTCCTGCCACCTCCTCTAACACCATCCTGTCCTCTTCCTTCCCAGCCCATGGGCATCTTCTCCATCTTGGAGGAACAGTGCGTCTTCCCCAAAGCCACTGATGCCACATTCAAGGCAGCCCTGTACGACAACCACCTGGGCAAGTCCAGCAACTTCCTGAAGCCCAAGGGAGGCAAGGGCAAGGGGCCCGAGGCCCACTTCGAGCTCGTTCACTATGCAGGCACTGTGAGTACTAGCCGCAGGGTCCCTCCGTGTTTTGGGTCCCAGCTGGCTGCCGTCACTGCCGCTATTGTAGGTGCATGCTGACATACCCCTCCAGAGATGTCCCGCTTCCACCAGCACAACCATGGTATAACAGGGTAATCAGCTAACTGAAATGAGCTCCGCTCACACCTCCTCATCACTTCTCCAAGGGAGATACCCATTAGGGAGCAGCCATCAGACCCATCCAGGCTGCACCCTGCCCAGGCCCATCATACCTGCCTGGGCCCACCATCTATAGCCCTTGGTTTGACAGCTGAACCTCAGTCTTGGCCAGAAATGACAACACTTGCAAAAAGAACAACAACAAAATTCCACGAGCCCATTAATGACTCCCAACTGATAACTTGGCTCTCTGACAGCTCGTAGCCACCAAACCAACAAGGTGACATTTATAGAGTGACTTTTTCACTCAAAACAAACTTAGTCCTTGGGAAGTGGGGAAATTAAGTGTAGCCAGGACTCAGATTGTATATGCATAATTAATAGGGGAGGTGACGTTCATCTTGCCAGCTTATGAGAATGCATTTGGTTTCCTTGGGATTTTATTATCGCTGTAAGTGCCAATGCTCCTGTTACCAACAGAGGTTGCTGAGCCTCTGTGGGCTTGACTGCAACCAAACTGCAGCCTTAAGACAGAGCTGTCAGGAAAGTCATGATGCCACTGGGCATCAGGGCCAAGGTTTTATGATACCATCAACCATAACCATAATGCCAATTGCTTGTAAAATGGATTGGGCCGATACTTGGAGCAAACAGCAGGCTTGGGACCAAATTGCAGCTCTCCATCCCCTCTTCCCACACTGAACTGAGAAGAGTTCCTTATTTATAGAAACGGAATATTCAAAGTCAAGTGGGACCTATGCATTTCCAAGAAGGCCCTAAAATAATGCACGGAGATGACAAATGTCTTTGTGCTACAAAGGAGATGGCAAGCCCAGAAGTTCTGGCTTCTCATCTACTTTCCTCACTTCTCTGTGCTCAATGGAAGGACCTGAAAGACTCCTTCCTCCTTACCCTGGCAATGGGGACCATGTGGCAAGATGGGAAGCAGAAATTAGTAGATGTCCAGTTACCTGGATATATGGAGCCCTCAGTGCTGGACAGGTGGACCTCCCTTTCCACCAGCCAATGACCCTACAGTGATGTAAGAGAGCGTTTATGCTCCCCTAGAAAGGAGACAACCTACAGTGTTTGAAGAGGGACTCTATGCTTCGCAGCAAAGAGAATTCTTCATGTAGCTGAGGATTCTACAGCCACAGTCAAGTCACTGACAGCAAAACCACTGGGCAAAAGATGACCCAGGGGTCAGGGAGGCACAATGTGGCTGGCAGAGCAAGCTGCGTAAGAGAAGGTTACACAGTCCAGGAGAGAGTAGCAGGGGAGTCTAGGTTTATGTGAAAAGCTCAGAGTTGGGGTATCCTACAAGGGCAAATTGCAAATACCCAAGAAAAGAGATGATAGAGCCTCCAACTCATATTGGGCTTCAGGGGCATCGCAGGACACCAGGCAAGTCAGCAGGACAAGAACTGGAGCCCCAAGAAATGGGGCTGAAAGTTGGTCCTGGGAGCTGAGAATAGGGCAGAGCTGTAGGAGGGGCTCTAGCTATAGCACTAAAAGGGAAAGGCTGGACCTCAAAGTTACTCACTGGCGTCTGCCCTCTCCAGGTGGGGTATAACATCACGGGCTGGCTGGAGAAGAACAAAGACCCCCTGAATGAAACAGTGGTGGGTTTGTTCCAGAAATCAACTGTGGCAATCCTAGCCCTTCTCTTCAAAGAAGAGGAGGCTCCAGGTAGGGCTGACCCCTTGTTGCATCCATGCTTCCTGTGCTGATGCCCTTTAGTGGCCAAAATGGAAAGAAGGAACAAAAACTCTTTCATTCAACTCTTGTGGAGTGAGTGAATGAATGAAAAGTGGCTTGAGATAGGCATGAAATGAGGCATGTAGATACAACCTGGGAGCCTCCAGTAACTGAACTAATTGCTAGGCATATCTCACCTCTAGGTGGATGGATACTACTTTGGAAAAGTTGACACCCAGATGTTCTGTGTTTCTTTTTCTGTTTCCCTCTCTCTTGTCTGAAGCAAATACCAAGCTCAGTCCTGCCTCCCATCCAATAGAGGTCATGTGGCTCCTAGGGGAATGCCCTGGTGGCTGCTGCCCCATAGGGTTGCCAATTAGTGGGGCCAGAAACGCCAGTCTCCTTGGTCTCACCACCAAAGTGCACATTCTCCCATGGTCTGTGGGTGCTTCTTCCTCCCCAGGCAATGCGAGCAGTTTGTCACCTTGCACCAGAAATCGCAAAAGCCTGCAGCCTCTCCAAGGAGCACAGCAGCTCTTTTGACAATTACACTATAGCCAGCCCATTTGACCACTCCTTTTCTTCATGTTAGGATCCCCCTTATTTATCCCCAAGATAAGCCTTTTTAAATCCACAGAATGCATGTGCTTTGGTGCAGAGCACTTAATGGGGCTGCCTTTCTCATACTGAGTACTGACATGAAACATACTTGTCCCTTCCTCAGCCGGAGGCAAGAAACAGAAGAGAGGCTCCACCTTCATGACAGTCTCCAACTTCTACAGGGTGAGTAGGGGTGGCACCGAGGTCACCTTGGGTCTGGTGCCCCCAACCCTTCCTTTCAATGTTGGGTGGTCTGGCTGCTGCTTCATGGCCAGGGTCAGGATGATTTCATTTCTCTGTCTGTGATTGCCTCTTTACCTGAAGGGGTCTGTTTCCTTCTGAAGAGGCCACAGAATAACAGTACCATTGGGCAGAAGAGACCCTTAGCGAAGGTCCAGTCCAACTATATCATTCTTGGATTTAAGACCGGAGGGAAAGGGGATTTATGCAGTGTTACCACTTGAGATAGCAATGCCCAAGATCTTTTGTCCTAGACTTGGCTGGCAGGTCTTGGACTGGCCACAACTTCCATGAAGTTTAGGCGTTCCCTTCCAAAGTGCAGTCTACAAGGAGATGTTGCACAAAGAAAGGTGTCAACACTTTTCAAGAATCAGGCTCTCCCAAGGCAGAGGGGGCTACCTTATTGGGTATATCCAAGCAGAGGAGGAGAGAGCATCCATTAGGGAAGTTAACAGTGGACAACAGTTTGTCCACACAGACCCTACAGCTCCTCCTAGTACTAAGATTCTACAATGAACCAGCTCTGAATCCAGAGGTGCCCTGCTTCTTGGACCTTGAGAGAAGTGCTGCCCAATGGCACTTTCTGCAAAGATGAAACATTCTCTTCTGCACTGTCCAATATGGTAGCCGCAAACCACATGTGGCTGAATTTTAATTCTGTTTTAAGTGACTAAACTCTAAATAAATATCTCTCCTGGGTATGGGTATCCTGAACATCAATGCAAAGTTTCACTCACTCGTTCTTTGTCCTCCAACCCCAGGAGCAGCTGAACAAGCTGATGACCACCCTCCATAGCACTGCACCCCATTTTGTCCGCTGCATTGTGCCCAATGAGTTTAAGCAGTCGGGTATGTTGTGGGGTCATGGCTCCCTGCTGGAAGTCCTAAGGGTATGCAAAGTTAGTGTTCATTCTGAATTAAGTCCACCTTTCATCACCAAGGCTGATGGGGGCAAAACAAGGCTCTGAGAGAAACCCCAACAATGGTTTCTAGCTGAATCATATTCTAGCTGCTTTATAAAGCAAAATGGTGCCCAACCAACCAGAAATCAAACTCAGGGGAGCTTTTGGGCATTGGCCAAATGGTGGGGGACCTGGGGCCTCTGGGACAGTGACAGGAGATGACTGGGGATGACGGTACAGATGCTCAGTTCAGCCTCCTTGAGTGGCCAGGACTGGCCTGTCCCACTCCAGAGGAGGGACTCTCCATCTTGCACCCTCCCCCTTGGCAGGTGTGGTAGATGCCCACCTGATCATGCACCAGCTAGCTTGCAATGGTGTCCTGGAAGGCATCCGTATCTGCAGGAAGGGCTTCCCAAACAGGCTGCAGTACCCGGAGTTCAAGCAGAGGTGAGTGATGTCTCACTGAATGCAAGGTTCAAGACGCCCAGGAGTTCTCCAGCTGATAAGTCACATCCACTGCAGCAGACACGATGGTGTTCGGTCAATACCACCTCCCTCTCAGTTACTACCTAAGTATACACTGGCCCACATTTTAGACAAGATTGGGCATGTTCAGGGTGGTATGGCTATAGACGCTGCCCCAAATTTCTATTGCCAGCCCCTGCATTTCTCGGCTTCTGGATGCTGCTTCACCCCTCCTTGGCAAGCTGAAAGTCCCCAGAATTAATGCCTCCCTGGAAGGAGCTGTCAACCCAGTCAGTGACTGAGGACAGCTGGTGTATAAATACCCCAGCTTCCTCACCTTTCTCGTGGCTGAGTCTGAGACATTTTCCACATATATGCTCAGACAGCAGTGTGTTTGTAAATGTTTAACAAGGGCTCTCCTGGTCCAAAAAAAAAGAAGCCCTGATTGCTAGTGTCTGCCCATTTCCATGGAGTAAACACTCCCACTGTGGCTCCCAGTGATCCCAGCAGCACTAAGCTCCAATTGCCTGTTGCACTAAATGCCTCCACAACACGCCTTTTATTGGCTTTCTGTCCATTCCTTGCTCTGCTACCTCCCAGATAAACTACTTGTATTTGAATTCTTATCTCAGGGTCTGCTTCTGGAGGAATACTGGGGTAACTAATAACCCCATCTCAGAGATGATAATCTTCTACCTCCTCCAACTTCCTCCAACATAGGACCACAGATTGATGGATCAGGAAAGGTCACTAGTAGTCACCTTATCCAAGCCCCTCTGAAGTCCCCAGCTGGGGACTTTTGTGTCCCAGGTCACAAAGGGGGCTGCTCACAGGTCAGGATAAAAAGGGCTGTTTTCTGATGTCTGGGTCAATGCCCTCTTCTCAACTCCAAGCTCTATCAAGAAGAGATTTTGGTTTCTTCATTTCTAGAAACAGCTCTTCCATGTACCCCCAACCCACACCAATGTCCACTCCCAAACTGTAGCCCTTATTCCAAAACCTCCTATCGATCTCATCTCTCTGAGTCCCTGGGGCATCTGTCAAACAAGTCTAATCCCTGTCCAAAGCCCATCTCAAAGACCAGCGGATAACTGCATGAACATGCTTTAGTGCTATCAGCTTGGGCACAGTGATAGCTGCCAATCATCTCTCTCCTGCCAGGTACCAAGTGCTGAACCCCAACGTGATTCCCCAGGGGTTTGTGGACAACAAGAAGGCCTCAGAGCTGCTGCTTGCAGCCATTGAACTGGATGTGAATGAATACAAAATTGGACATACCAAGGTAGGGTCTGGTGGGCAGTCTCCCCCTACACACCCCTTCAGCCTTATTCCAAGAAGGTGGGCTTTGGGGTGTGGATTCCACCTGGCCACTGACCAATGGCCTGCTTTGGGCAAGTCTGCTAGCTGCTGAAAGCCTTTGTTTCCTGAAAAACCAGGGTTGATCATGCTAGCCTCACAGAATTTGGAGTGATTAGAGGCAACATGCATAGAACCCAGCTCAGGTCAGAGGGAAACTCAAGCAATAGTAGAATATTTCTTAGAACCCTACGTTTCTTTTTTTTTGGAGACAGGGTCTTCCTGGAGTACAGTGGCACAATCATAGCTCACTACAACCTCGAATTCCAAGGCTCAAATGATCCTCCTGCCTCAGCCTCCCAAGTAGCTGGGACTTAAGGAGGCACACACCATCACAGCCAGCTAATTTTTAAAATTATTTGTAGAGATGGGGTCTCACTCTGTTGCCCAGGCTAGTCTCGGACTCCTGGGCTCAAGCAATCCTCCTGCCTCAGTCCCCCAAAGTGCTGGGATTACAGGCATAAGCCATTGCACCTGCCCTGAGCCCTGAGTTTCCAAGAATAAAAAGGGCCAATCAGAATCAAGGTCCTGGATCTGACCCTGTCAGGAAGTTTGCTTGGGCGGGGCCTGGACAGTGAAGAACTGTAAGCCCAGCTCTGAGCTGGCAGCTGAGCCCAAACTGACTCAAACAGAGCAGCCTCCTGCTCCTGACTCATGGCGCCTGAGTTGCCCTGGGTCTATCCCATTTCCTGACCCCGCGGCATCCTGTTGGGGTTGTAAAGGCTGGCCAGGCCAGTGGTGCAAGGTGTCCTTACACAGCCACCCCCTGCAGACTGCACCTCAACATGATCTCCCCATGACACAGGAGGTTCACTGGCTTTGCAGTCAGGAGAGTTGGGCTCAAAGCCTGCCTCTGTGCCGCCTGGAGCAGATCATTTATCTCTCCAAGTTCTCATGCATGACGCAGGCTTGGCATGGAAGCTTGCAGCATGCCTGTGCCTCTAATGCATCTGGTCACTCAGCAAACGCTTATGATGCACCTACTGTGTGCCAGGGACAGTTCCAGGCTCTAGGGACACACAGTGAAGAGAACAGAATGAATCCCTCACTCCCTGGAGCTTGCTTTATAATACTCTGTCTGTGCAGAATTGTAACACTACCCTAGAACCTGGCAGAACTGTTTGTTTTGTCCTCCTTCACAATTAAGATGTGCTGTAAATAGCTAGATTGACTTGTGGGGGACACCTGAGGTTTGGAGACAGGATCATTGAATACTTGAGCTGGAAAGAATCTTAGAAACCAGAGGGCCCCTCCTTTCCCCACCCACCCTTGACAGATGGGGAACTTAAGAAAGCCTGGAGAGGGGGTGGAGGTGGCATACCCAACCTCACAGAATGAGGCGGGACAGAGCTAGGCAGCATCAGGCCCAATGGGGCCGGTTGTGTGGATGGAGAAGCCGGAGCTGGTATCTCAGAATCTGGCACAGCTCAGAATCTGGTCTGTTTACCACCTGGCCAAAGGGACCCCATCTTGCTATTGTACAAGGGTTGCATGAGACATGTCAGTTCCAGGGGAAGGCCCAGGGCTGCTGGGGACAGTTTTGCTCCCTGAGGACTAGGCAGACTGGCAGCAGGGGCAGAACAAAGAACAGAATGGTTCTGACTGCAAATGGTGTTCCTATGTTTGGAGTTGGCTCAGGTGGGCCCCACCCCCAGCCACATGCTCGTTGCAAAGACCAAACCTCAACACCAATTAATTTTGAAATATCAGGAAACGTTTTATGACATCAAATCCAATTTCTCTACTTTGTGATGTCCAGCTCCTTGGGGGGCCTTCTGGGGGCAGGGAGCATTCTTTCTCATCTTTTACCCACAGGGACTCAGTTGGGTGCTATACTCCCTGGCCCCATGTGGCATCTTGGGCTCTTGTAGTTCGGAGGCCCTATAAGCAACATTCTCTCCAGACAGAAGGGGAGGCCTAGGCCCCCCAAGGGACAGTGATTTAACCACAGTCACACACACAGCACATCCAAGGTAGGCTGAGGCCAGAATGCAGGTCTCCTGGCATGTTCTATCCTTCTAAAAGTTTCTATCATATCCTATTTGAAGCCTGGAAAAAGGTGTTACATCATGAAACATAAAGCCAGCACCTATGAACCCACTGAAAAGCCTGGAATGTCAACTTTGCATGTCTTTCCTCCCTCATCTCCTCCCCACCCGCAGGAGTAACCCTGTCTTGAATTTTGATATAAACCATTCTCTTACCTTTTTTTTTCTTAAGAGACATGGTCTTGGCCGGGCATGGTGGCTCATGCCTCTAAAACCAACACTTTGGGAGGCCGAGGCAGGCAGATCATGAGGTCAAGAAATCGAGACCATCCTCGTCAACACGGTGAAACCCCGTCTCTACTAAAAATAAAAAAAAAATTAGTTGAACGTGGTGGCACACACCTGTAATCCCAGCTATTCGGGAGGCTGAGGCACAAGAATCATTTGAACCCCAAAGGGGTGAGATCATACCACTGTACTCCAGCCTGGGTGACAGAGGGAGACTCTGTCTTAAAAAAAAAAAAAAAAAAAAGAGACAGAGGCATGGTCTTGCTCTGTCACCCAGACTGGAGTGCAGTCACATGATCACAGCTCACTGGCTCACTGCAGCTTCAAATTTTAGGCTCAAGCAATTCCCCAACCTCAGCCTCCCAAGTAACTGAGAATACAGGTGCACACCACTACACCTGGCTAATTTTTGTATTTTTTGTAGATACAGAGTCTCACTATGTTGCCAAGGCTGTTCCCCAACTCCTGGGCTCAAGCAATCCCCTCACCTCAGCCTCCCAAAGCACTGGGATTACAGGCATGAGCCACATCACCTGGCTCATTTTCTTACCTGTCAAAAATAGCTTTAGCACATATGCCTGCAGTTGTGCTTGGTTTTGAGTGTCACGGAAGTATCGTACTTGACACACCCTTCTGTGACATTCTTCCATGACGTGCTTTTATCTCTTCACCATGTTTCTAAGCTTCAGCCTCACTGGTACGTGACATTATCACTGCCACACTGCAGTGCAGTGCGGCTGTGAACATTCTTGCTCATGGTCTTGTGCAGGAGTTTCTCTAGAACAAAGTCTCAACCTTGGCTGTACATTAGACTCATCTGGGGGGATTTTTAAAACATCCACAGGTGGGGCATGGTAGCTCATGCCTATAATTCCTGCATTTTGGGAGGCTGAGGTGGGAAGATCACTTCAGTCCAGGAGTTCAAGGCCAGCCTGGGAAACATAGCCAGACCCCATCTCAGAAAAAAATTTTTTAATTAGCTGGACATGGTGGCACATGCCTCTAATTCCAGCACTTTGGGAGGCCCAGCCTGGACAATATAGTGAGACCCCATCTCTACAAATAATAATAATAAATTTAGCTGGTGGCATGTGCCTGTAGTCTCAGCTACTCAGAAGACCGAGATAAGAGTATCGCTTAAGCTCAGGAGGTCAAGGCTGCAGTCATCTGTAATCATGCCACTGCACTCCAGCCTGGGCAACAGAGTGAGATCCTTTCTGAAAAACAAAAACAAAACAAACCAAAACAAAAAACAAAAACCCTTCTTTGATTTAAAACTCCTCCAACTGGCTGCCATTGGGTAACAGCTGGGCTCTTTCAAAGGTGTGCCGTCTTTTCCCCAGGTGTTCTTCCGTGCAGGCATCCTGGCAAAGCTTGAGGACATGAGGGACGAGCGTCTGGCCAAGATCATGACGATGCTGCAGTGTCGGCTCCGGGGCTTCCTCATGAGGGTGGAGTTCAAGAAGATGCTGGAACGAAGGTAGCACTCACAAACACCAACAGGAAGGCCCAGGGGAGCCACAAGCACTCAGGAACAGAACCCCTAGCCACACCGTGCGGTTGGCAAGGGATGGATGCCAATGTCTTCGCTGGCACAAAGAATCCTGTGTGGCTGGCCAGGCACAGTGGCTCATGCCTGTAATCCCAGAACTTTGGGAGGCCGAGGCAGGCAAATCACCTGAGATCAGGAGTTCGAGACCAGCCTGGCCAATGTGGTGAAACCCTGTCTCTATAAAAAATACAAAAATTAGCTGAGCGTGGTGGCACATGCCTGTAATCCTAACTACTTGGGAGGCTGAGGCAGGAAACTCGCTTGAACCCGGGAGGCAGAGGTTGCAGTAAGCCAAGGTTGTGCCATTGCACTCTAGCCTGGGCAACAAGAGCAAAACTCCATCTCAAAAAAAAAAAAGAATCCTGTCTCTCAGAGCTGCCACAATCAAGTTGACACACTGGGTATCTTCAAACAACAGGAATTTTAAAAAAATTTTTTTATTAAGGGCCCGGCACAGTGGCTCACACCTGTAATTCCAGCATTTTGAGAAGCTGAGGTGGGTGGATCACTTGTGGTCAGGAGTTCGAGACCAGCCTGACCAACATGGTGAAACCCTGTCTCTACTAAAAATACACAAATTAGGTGGGCGTGGTGGCACACACCTGTAACCCCAGCTACTCAGGAGGCTGAGGCAGAAGAGTCACTTGAACCCGGGAGGCAGAGGTTACAGAGAGCTGAGATCACACCACTGCACTCCAGCCTGGGTGACAGAGCAAGAATCTGTCTGAAAAAAAAAAAATTTAACTGATACCTAATAGATATGTATATTTTTGGGTTTCATGTGATAATTTGATACATTCATATAATAAAATCAGGATAACTGGGATATCGATAACCTTAAATTTTATTTTTGAAGGGGGATGGGATCTTGCTCTGTGGCCCAGGCTGGAGTGCAGTGGTGTGACCATAGCTCGCCACAGCCTCAACCTCCTGGGCTTGAGTGATCCTCCCATCTCAGCCTCCTGAGTAGCTGGGACTACAGGTGCACGGTACCACACCTGGCTTTTTTTTTTTTTTTTTTTTTCTATAGCGATGAGATCTCTCCATGTTGCCCAAGGCCCAGGCTCATCTCAAACTCCTGGGCTCAAGTGATCCACCCCCCTCAGCTTCTCAAAGTGCTGAGACTACAGGCATGAGCCACTACACCCAGCCCATCTTCTCTCTTTTTATATGGGCACCAGTCATATTGAATTAGAGTCCACCTTACTCTAATATGACCACCTCATCTTAACTAGTTATATCTGCTAGGACCCTATTCCCAAACAAAGTCCCCTTCCTAGATACTGGGGGTTAGGACTTCACCGGATCCTTTAGGAGGACACAGCTCAACCCCTAACAGGAAACAATTAACATAAACCCTCTCTTTATAGTTCAGGTCACATTCAAAGCCTTTCTCTTACTTAATCCATGTAATGATGCTGTAAAAGGAGCATGGTAGGGTCAGCATCCCCACTTTACAGATGTGGAAACTGAGATCTGAGAAGTTAAGAAACTGGGGCAGGTTCACGCAGAGCCAGGATAGAACTCAGCAATTCTTACTCCACATCCCTGCCCTTTTAATCATGTTTTTCAGCCATCTCCCTAACCTGGTAATTTAAAAACGGCTGGGTCCAGCCAGGTGTGGTAGCTCATACCTGCAATCCTAGCACTTTGAGAAGCCAAGGCAGGAGGATCACTTGAGCTCAGGAGTTTGAGACCAGCCTGGGCAACAGTAGATAGGGAGACCCCATCTCTACAAAAAATCACAAATTAGCAGGTGGTGGTACATGACTGTAGTCCCAGCTACTTGGGAGGCTGAGGCAGGAGGATTGCTTGAGCCAGAGTTTAAAGCTCCAGTGAGCCACAATTGTACCACTGCACTCTAGACTGGGCAATAGAGTGAGACCCTGTCTCAAAAACAAACAAACAAAAAACAACCTAGTTTCATCCCAGATGACCTGTGATTGAGTCTATTTCTTTGTGGTCACAGAATTAGTAATGAATTCCTGTTCCCACCAGCAGGGCACCTGCAGCCCTATACTGAAGGCAGGGACACCAGTTAGGGGCTGATGTGAGGGATCTTGGCCTGATCCAGCCCAGGGCCTTGGTGCACAGGAGGTCCTCAATAAATGGCAATTGAATGAAGCTACAGGGAACAAGAAATGGGCAGATTCCAGCAACTTTGCAGATCCATGGGATTCAGAGACTAATGGGTGATTTCTGGTAAAGTGGGGAAAATGCAGGAGTAAAATGACTGCTCTGTCTCAGCCTCGCACCATCTGGGAGGGACTTGGTTCCATCGGGTGTTGTCTCAGCTCTCTTAGCTGCTAAGCTCTGACCCCAGCTTGAGTCTCCCTGCCCCCAACCACATGGGCAATGCCAGGTCTTAAGAAAGCACTTTTGTGTCTAGACAAAGTAGATCTGCTGGCTTCTACTTCCAGGCCCCTGCCCTTCCCCAGGGAAGCCAGAAGCCAGGTCCTAACACCTTCATTGTAACCCATTCAACCCTGGATTCTTTTCACAGAATGGGCCTGAAAGTCATTCAGCGGAATGTGCGCAAGTTCCTGCAGCTTCGTTTCTGGGGATGGTGGAAGCTGTACAACAAGGTGAGGGCTGAGGGGCCAGGACAGCAAGGACTGCTGCTGCCTGTGGGTTTGTGGGGAGGGGGCTCGATCCTGGACAGAGGTGCCCCTCGGAGTGAGAAGCTGCAAAAACAGTCTAAAAATGAGGGCACCTTAGAGGCAAAATCTAGCCTCTATCCAGACAGGAACTAATTCCTCCCTAAGAAAAATCATGGGGCCAGGCACAGTGGCTCATACCCGTAATCTCAGCCCTTTGGGAGGCTGAGGCAAGAGGGTTGCTTGAGGCAAGAGGGTTGCTTGAGGCCAGGAGTTTGAGACCAGCCTGGGCAACATAGTGAGACCCCATTTCAAAAGAAAAGAAAGGAAGAGAGAGAGTGTGCGAAAGGAAAGGAGGGAGGGAGGGAGCAAACAAACATCATGTGTCTTTCCGCCTTCTATCTCATCCCTCAAATAAAATCCACTTAAGATGGAGAGAGCCACTACAGCCCTACCAAAAAAAGTAAGCTTGATTATTGACTCCTTGCCCCTGGGAATGTTAAGGCATCTTCAACTTCAGTGAGTTCTTGGCTTTAGAGCTGGAGGAACCTCAGGAAATGATGGGGTCCGACCTCTCATTTCCTGTTCTTCCAAAACAGCAATGAGTGTGGTGTGTGAGTCAGCCAGCTGGTGGGACCTACAGATGTGGGTAGTCAGGGCACCCTCAGCCAAGGCAGGAGGCCACCAGCCATGGCACTGTATGTGGGTCCGATCATGCCTGAACTAGGGCAACCATTAAGAGGGAACATGTCCCTGGGCACCAGAGGAGGAAGTTGGGCACCAGGCAGCTATGTTCAGGAGACAGACAGGAGGACCTGCAGAGGGTGAGGAGGGGATCTGAGTCATCTCGGATGGCCCTGAGTCCTCCATAGCTCACAAGGAAGTTTCTTTATATTCCCCATGGGAAAGAACTGGCTAACAATCAGCACCGACCACAAACGGAAAGGGAGGAATAGCAAGTTCTGCTTCCCCATATGTATCCACACACAGGCCAGCCCTGGAAGACCTGAGACTGGAGAGGAATCTATATGAACACATCTCAAAGGCCAGGCATTGCCGGTGCTGCCTGGGTTTCCTCACCTGTTCCATGATGCACTTTTCTGTACATTAATTCACTTTTTTTTCTTTTTTTTTTGAGACAGGGTCTCACTCTGTCACCTAGGCTGGAGTATAGTGGCACAATCTCAGCTCACTGCAACCTCCACCTCCCAGGTTCAAGCAATTCTCCTGCCTCAGCTTCCCCCTCCCCCGTAGCTGGGATTATAAGCATCTGCCACCACACCCGACTAATTTTTGTATTTTTGGTAGAGATGGGGTTTTACCATGTTGGCCAGGCTGGTCTCAAACTCCTGACCTCAGGTGATCCACCCACCTTGGCCTCCCAAAGCGCTGGGATTATAGGAGTGAGTCACCACACCTGGCTTCACTTTTACCCAGGCTGGAGTGCAGTGATGCAATCATAGCTCACCGCAGCCTCACACTACTGGACTCAAGCTATCCTTCCATCTCAGCCTCCCAAATAGCTGGGACTATAGGTGTGCGCCTCCATGCCTAGCTGATTTTTAATTTTTGTTTCTGAAGAGACAGGGTCTTGCTATGTTGCCCAGGCTGGTCTCAAACTCCTGGCCTCAAGCAATCTTGCCATGTCGGCCTCCCAGATGGCTGAGATTACAGGTGCATAGCACCCACCCAGCTCATTTTTAAATTTTTTGTAGAGAAAAGGTCTTGCTACATTGCCCTGGCCAGTCGCAAACTCCTGACCTCAAGTAATTCTCCGCAGCCTCCTGGAATTACAGGCATGAGACACTGTGCCCAGAACAAATTTTATTTTAAAAGGAAACTTTGTAGTCTTACCTGCTTTAATCTCATCCTGACCAAATGTTATCCACAAAACTGTGAGTTTGAGGAGTTCTTTTTCATTTTTTAAATTACCTATTAAAGTAACTATGTCACAACTCAATCAAAGGGTGTCTACCTTAAATGCATCTCACCAGACCCCCCGGTATACAATTAGACTCTGGGAAGACCCAGGCCAATGGCCTTTAAGGTTTCTTCTGAGTAGACACAGTAGCAAAGGCTATAAACTCCCTGCTCATTACCATTAGACCTGACAGAACAAGGTCTTGTTCTAATTAGTTTTTTGTTTTGTTTTGTTTTGAGACAGAGTCTCACTCTGTTGCCCAGGCTGGAGTGCAGTGGCAACTTCTACCTCCTGGGTGGCTGGGATTAAGGTGCCCACCACCACGCCCAGCTAATTTTTTGTATTTTTAGTAGAGACTGGGTTTCACCATGTTGGCCAGGCTTTTCTCAAACTCCTGAACTCAGGTGATCCACCCACCTCGGCTTCCCAAAGTGCTGGGATTACAGGCGTGAGCCACAGCACCCAGCATTTTTAGTTTTTTTTTTTTTTAAACCTCTCCTCTTAGTATACTAACGAAGCTCTAACCTTTTTTAACAAAGCCAGATAGGCTGGGTCAATGAAAAAACGCTCGTAGTAGGTTTCCATTGAATCAAAAGTACTACACAGGAGCAATATGGTGGTTACTGCAACCTTTTCATGCCAGCTTTACCACTGTGACATCCCAGCTTCTCAACAACCAGGCTGGCAATGAACGAGGTTTATCTGTTATCTTCCAAAAGAGGCACAGGCCGTCTCTCCTCCCAAATCCATGTCTAGGACATTTTCCCTCCTGGAAAACATATCTATTGACTATGTATCTATTGTATCTGTGATTCCCAGAGGACCTGCCCCACCAGCTCTGCTAGGTGCTTTAGGGACCCTGAAGGGACAGGAGGGAGGTCTTTAAGGGGCTTGCAGACACAGGGCAGAATATGGGTGGTGGGACCGGACGGAGCCTGGCGCTCCAGTGCAGGTAAGAAAGGCCAAGTACATGGAGAGATCCTAATGGGTGCTACAGGTGCAGAACAGGAGCAAATGCTACTGGCTAAACAGCAAAGAAGGCCCAGCCGTACAGACACAGGCACAGGGGCACCCGCCAGGGCGGGAAGTGTCAGCTGAGACAGTGCAGGAGGACAGCATGGGCTACACTACAGAAGGCCTGCAAGGCCAACTTGAGAGGTAGGACTTCAGGTTAGAGAGAAGATGAAAGAAGTGAGAGAGTAAGGGACAGAGAGAGACACACACACACAGAGAAAAACAAATAAAGACACAGACACAGACAGAAAATGAGAGAGAGAGAAACGGAGAGAGACAGCACAGCAGAGAGAAAGACAGAGAGAGACACCATGAGACAGAGAAAGAGACAAAGACAGAGACAGAGACAGGGAGAGAGAAAAACAGAGAGAGGGAGACAGCAATAGAGAGAGACGGAGAAGAGAGGCAGAGATAAGGACAGCATGAAAAAGACAGAAACAGACACACAAAAAGAGAGAGAAAAAGTGGGCAGGTGAGAGAGACAGCAAAATGAGACAAAAAGAGACAGAAACTGAGAGAGACAGAGGGGCAGCACTCGGTATGGAAGGAAGGAGGGAGGGGACCCCAAGGCTGTTCATTTTGCCAGGGCTCCTGCTGTCTACGCAACGTGCAGAATAGATGTAAGCCTTGGGGCGCCTAGATGCTGAGGTCACCTCATGACTCCATATCCCTCAGGATTAAAGACCATCCTAAGAATTGTCCTAGGCGAGGATGGGCCTTCTCTGTTGAAGCTAGGGATACTTTATACAAGAAGCTTGGCCTGGTGGCATCTGTGGAGAGGGACCCCACCCACAGAGATACAGCAAGAGCTGCTTCCCCCCACCATGGTTCTGTGAGGTGACACCTGAGGCAGAGACCCCACAGCCCACCATCTATTCCCCAGCAAAGCCCATCCTCCTAACACTCTTTGGTGGTGCTCATTGCCCAGGTCAAGCCGCTCCTGAATGTGGCGCGGCAAGAGGAGGAGATGAAGGCCAAGGAGGAGGAGCTCAGGAGTGCCATGGCCAAGACCCAGGAGCTGATAAACAAGGTCAAGGAACTGGAGGAGAAGATGGCCACACTCAGCCAGGAGAAGAACGACCTCACCATCCAGCTGCAGGCTGTACGCAGGGTCCTGGGGAGAAGGGTGGGGGGACCCACGTACAGCCTGGACCCAGGGAAGGAGGAAGGGCGAGCTCTTCCCAAAACCCGTGTCCCTCCAGACCATGGGGAAATTCTCCAGCATACAAGGTCACCCTCAACCCAACTACCAAAAAGTTTCCATCGTGTGTGTGTGTGTGTGTGTCTGAGAGAGAGAGAGAGAGAGAGAGACAGAGAAAGAGAGAGAGAAGAGAGAGAGACAGAGAGAGAGCAGATAGGCAGACAGACAGACACAGGGTCTTGCTCTGTTACCCAGGCTGGAGTGGAGTGGCTCGGTCACAGCTTACCATAGCCTCCATCCCCTGGACACAGATTATTCTCCCACCTCAGCCTCCCGAGTAGCTGGGACTACACCACCACGCCCACTGAATTTTTTTGTATTTTTTGTAGAGGCAGGGTCTCACTATGTTGCCCAGGCTGGTCTCAAACTCCCAGCCTCAAATGGTCCTCCCATTTCGGTCTCCCAAAGTGCTGAAATTACAGGTGTGAGCCCCCATGCCCAGCCTCCATCAAATTCTTATTTGCACACAGCAGCAGGCTGGGCACACACAGCTACAGGCCCTGCCTGTAGGGAAAGTCCAGGGATGGTAGCCACAAGATGGGGTGAGAACATCGTCCCCTGGAGTCAGGGCTGGGCTCTGCCATGTGAACTTGGCAACTTACCATCTCCAAGTCTCCTTTTCCTCGTTTGTCCAGGAAAACACAGCAGGGAAGAATGAACGACATCATTTCTGTAGGGTGCCTGATTAAATGTCCCGCGGTGAATTCACTGTCAGGGTCCTGGTTTGCAAAGCTTCTCCTATTCCTTTCCTGATTTGACTCTCACAGCCACCCTGTAAGACACCCGATTTTCATGTGCCTCATACAGAGTGGAAAACCCAGTATGGCAGACATTTAGAAATTTGATCAAGGTCCTAGGCCCATTAGTAGAAAACCTAACCCTGGAAGGCGCCCAATTCCATCTTCAGGCCTCCCTGCTCTGCCACGGCCGTCTTCGCTTGCATTTTCCTTCCCTTGTCCCTGAAGCTGCCTCCAACATAATTTCTCTATATCCTCTTCATACCCCTGATAAGTTGTTTGAACTGATATTCCCATTTTGTTTGTGGAGGCTGAGGCTGGGCTAGACCACAATGATGGAAGAATCCTCCTGGGCCAGATTCAGGGGCTCACGCCAGTAAACCCAACACTTTGTGGGGCCAAGGCAGGAGGAATGCTTGAGCCCAGGAATTCGAGACCAGGCTGGCTAACATAGTGAAACCCCATCTATACAAAAACAGTTAAAAATAAGCCGGGTATGGTGGCACACCTGTAGTCCCAGCTACTTAGGAGGCTGAGGTGGGAGAATTGCTTAAGCCTAGAAGGTCAAGGCTGCAGTGAGCCATGATTGCGCCACTGTACCACAGCCTGGGTGACAGAGTGAGACTGTGTCTCAAAAATAAACTTAGCTGGGCATTGCAGTGTGTACCTGTAGTCTCAGCTACCTGGGGGACTGAGGTGGGAAGATTGCTTGAGCCCGGGAGGTCGAGACTCCAAGAGCTGTGATCGCACCACTGTACTCCAGACTGAGCAACAAAGCAAGACACTGACAAAAAAAAAAGGAGTTCGGAGATAGCCTGGTCCCTTGTCCAACCCCATCTAACCCCCAGGACACATTTGTTCAGGACCCATCAGCTCAAGGCTTGTCCAGGGTCTTGGTGTGGTCTTTGCCTGGACCCTGCCTACGACTGGAGCTCTTTCTCCCAACAGGAGCAAGAGAACCTGATGGATGCAGAGGAGCGCCTGACACAGTTAATGAAGACCAAGATGGAGCTGGAGAGCCAGATCTCGGACATGCGGGAGCGGCTGGAGGAAGAAGAGGGCACAGCCGCCTCGCTGAGCGCCGCCAAGCGCAAGCTGGAGGGGGAGCTGAGCGACCTGAAGCGGGACCTGGAGGGCCTGGAAACCACGCTGGCCAAGACAGAGAAGGAGAAGCAGGTGAGGAGAGGCTGGGCCCTGCCATGCCTTTCTCAGGTGCTCTCTCTGCAGGGGCCATGCCTGGAACCCCCATGGTGGCTATGGTCAGTGCCCTAACCACTGGCCACATAGGGCTGTTTTTTGGTTAATTTTTGGGGTTTTGTTTTGTTTTGTTTTGTCTTGAGACAGAGTCTTGCTCTGTCACCCAGGCTGGAGTGCAGTGGCATGATCTTGGCTCACTGCAACCTCTACCTTCTGGGTTCAAGTGATTCTCATGCCTCAGCCTCCCGAGTAGCCAGAACTACAGGTATGCACCACCACACCTCAAGTGATCTGCCTGTCTCGGCCTCCCAAAGTGCTGGGATTACAGGCGTGGGCCACTGTACTCAGCCCACATGGGGCTACATTAATTTACAACTTAAAATGCAGTTCCTCAGTTGCACAAGCCACATTGCAGGTGCTCAACAGCCATGGGCGTGAAGTGCCACTGCATGGGGCAGCAAAGGCAGAGAAGATGTCTGTCACTACAGAAAGTTCTGCTGGGCAGGGCAGCTGACTAAGGGGACTGAAAGCTGTTCCCATCATGGTGAAGTGTCCACCTTTAACTGTTGAATTTCTGCCCAAACAAGCAGTTGCTGCCCCTCTGAGCAGCTCCCTGGGGGAAGCCCTGGCTCCTGATGCGTCCCCTTCCTGCTATTGCAGGTGGGTTGGGTTCATGAGCAGGGTAAGAGGGACTCTGCCTAAACCTGTGCTTCTGCTCTGCTGCACACACACAAACCACCAAGGATACGGTCAGATGCAGACTCTGGCGGGTCTGGTGGGGCCCGAGGATCTACATTTCTAGCGTGATGCCACTGCCGACATCCAGGGACCACACTTTGAGGAGCTTAGGTTCTTGCTGCTCCCCTTTACCCCCAAAGTTCTGACTTGGTTGGCCTGGGACACGCCCTGGGTGCTGGCATTTCTCAAGCTCCCAGGAAACTCTAGAGTGCACCCAAGCTGAGGACTCCCTCCTCTTCTCTTCACAAAGGCTATTTCCAGCCTTAACAACACACCTTTCTCCTTGCCTTGGTTTCCAGGCCCTGGATCACAAGGTCCGTACCCTGACTGGGGATCTCTCACTCCGTGAAGACTCCATCGCCAAGCTCCAGAAGGAGAAGAGGGCCCTGGAGGAGTTGCACCAGGTAGGTTTCCCCTGAGTCTTTCCTCAGGCCAGCGGCTGAAGCTTAGCACAATGTGCTTTGCACTGGAGACTAGAGCCCCCATTTCAAATCCTGGCTCTGATGCCCCTTCAGCTTGGGGCCGCAGGGAAGTTAAGGAATCTCTGTACATCTCAGTTTCCTCAAGAGTGACATGGGTGTGGCCTCCTCTTGCCCTCCTTTGAAATTTGTTATAAGTAGGGCAACAATATATTTTGTTTTCCAAACTAGAACAGTTTTGAGAGCAAGAGGGGGAGGTATGAACAATTATGAATCATACAGGCAAGGCAGCTCACACCTGTAATCCCAGCACTTTGGGAGGCTGAGCGGGGAGGATCCCTTGAGTTTAAAAGTTTAAGACCAGCCTGGGCAACATGGCAAAATTCCCATCTCTACAAAAAATAACAAAAATTAGCCAGGTCTGGTGACACATGCCTGTAGTCCCAGCTATTCAGGAGGCTGAGGCAAAAGGATAACTTGAACCCGGGAGTTGGAGGTTACAGTGAGCCAAAATTGCGCCAATTACACTCCAGCCTGGGTGACAGAGCAAGACCCTGTCTCAAAAAAACAAACAACAACAAAACAATGAGTTAGGTTGGGCCCATGCACACTGGAGAAAGCGTGCTCACTGGAATGGTGGGGTTGGAGCAGGGTGTATGGAAATGACCCGTGAGCTTGAAAGCCCAGCAAACCCTGACACTGTGGCAACAACAGGTCATGAGCTCTTGAGGCCGAGGAGACTCCCCTACTTTCCCAGGGCTGCTGTCATGGGCTCAGGCTTCTGAATGCAGAGCAGACCTCCAGAGAAACAGAGGCAAACAGCCAGACAGTGGACCCTCATCCTTGTGTTTGCTGACACCATGAATCCACATGTCCCCTGAGTGTCTCTCCCTGCTGCCTTGGGAGCTGCCACTCTTGCCCTGTGATTTTTAAGCATATCAGACCCAGAGCCCCCTTTCATAACAAATACAGTCAATTTGTGTTATTTACAGTCATTATGTTTTTGTTTTTGTTTATTTTTGAGACAGAGTCATACTCTGTCACCCAGGCTGGAGTGCAGTGGCATCATCTCAGCTCACAGCAACCTCCGCCTCCCAGGCTCAAGCAGTTTTCCTGACTCAGCCTCCTGAGTAGCTGGGATTACAGGGGCCTACCACCACACCTAACTAATTGTTTGTATTTTTAGTAGAGACAGGGTTAGACCATGTTGGCCAGGCTGGTCTCAAACTCCTGACCTTGTAATCTGCCCGCCTCAGCCTCCCAAAGTGCCGGGTCTACAGGCGTGAGCCACTGTGCCCAGCCAATTTTTGTAGGGTTTCATCATGTTGCCCAGGCTGGTCTCGAAATCCTGGGCTCAAGCAATCCTCCCACCTCAGCCTCCCAAAGTGCTGGGATTGTAGGCATGAGCCACCACACCCTCCCAACATTTTCATCAAACAATCAATACATAATTGATGCAACTATGGTCAATACATTACTGTGTTATATGTGTCTTATTTAAATTTTTGATTCATTCACACTGAACTCATGGCCAACAGCACTGTCTATACCTTGTGTCTGAATGAAGCTTCTCTCATACATGTATTTTCTCATAAGGCACATCACCACCTTCCTGCACTAGGGACACTCAACAGCACTTCAGCACTGTGTTTGGGGATCATTTTAAACAGCAAAGCCCCATAAAAAGCAAAAAAAAGCATGGAACTAAATAGAGCATAAAAATGACACTTGTTTAGAGTATGAGGTTGACACAAAAAGGCAGAGTATCACCTTGTTCGACCTCAGCAGAAAAAGTGTGCGTCAAAATTTCTCCTGACCCCACGTGCATGTTTGCAGATGACCATGAGAAAGTGCTGCGAATACTGATTGTGGATTACAAATACGTTTTGGTGAGTGGGTGAATGGACAAATAGAAAATTCAATAAATAGGCCCAGCGCGGTGGCTCATACCTGTAATCCCAGCACTTTGGAAGGCCAAGGCAGGCGGACCATTTGAGGCCAGGAGTTCAAGATCAGCCTGGCCAACATGGTGAAACCCCGTCTCTACTAAAAATACAAAAAATTAGCCGGGTGTGGTGGAGCACGACAGTAATCCCAGCTACTCAGGAGGCTAAGGCAGAAGAATCGCTTGAACCCAGGAAATGGAGGTTGTAGGGAGCTGAGATTGCGCCATTGCACTCCAGCCTGGGCAACAAGAACGAAACTCCAAGTCTCAAAATAAATAAATAAAATAGGCCAGGCGTGGTGACTCATGCCTGTAACCCCAGCACTTTGGGAGGCCGAGGTGGGTAGATCACCTGAGGTCAGTAGTTCGAGACCAGCCTGGCAAACATGGCAAAACCCCGTTTCTATTAAAAATACAAAAATTAGCCAGGCATGGTGGTGCTTGCCTGTAGTCCCAGCTCAGGAGCCTGAGGCAGGAGAACTGCTTGAACCTGGGAGGCAGAGGTTGCAGTGAGCCGAGATTGTGCCACTGCACTCCAGCCTGGGTGACAGGGCAAGACTCCATCTCACTAATAATAATAATAATAATATAATAGGCCAGGTGCGGCGGTTCATGTCTATAATCCCAGCACTTTGGGAGGCCGAGGCAGGTGGATCACCTGAGGTCAGGAGTTCAAGACCAGCCTGGCCAACATGGCAAAACCCCATCTCTATTTAAAAAAACACAAAAGTTAGCTGGGCATGGTGGTGGGCGCCTGAATCCCAGCTACTCAGAGGCTGAGGCAGGAGAGTCACTTGAACCCAGGAGGCAGAGGTTGCAGTGAGCCAAGATCACACCACTACACTCCAGCCTGGGTGACAGAGCAAGATTCTGTCTCATAAAAATAAATTTATTTTTAATTTATTTTTATAAAAATAAACAGTAAAAGAATCTCCTTTTACTATTCCTAACTAAAAATTATAAATAACATAATACGTAACTTCAAGAAATCAATAGCACACTCTTTGATATAAAGGAGAAATGAGTGGAAACTGACACTAGATAATGTGCTGTTGATATATAAAAGCTGAGGCAGGTCGGCCGGGCACAGTGGCTCATGCCTGTAATCCCAGCACTTTGGGAGGCCAAGACAGGCAGATCACTTGAGGCCAGGAGTTCGAGACCAGCCTGGCCAACAGGGTGAAAACCTGTCTCAAAAAAAAAAAAAAAAAAGCCCAGGCAGGCCAACTAGTAGAAGGAATGGTGCATAACTTTTAGGGAAACAATGATAACCAATAAATCTTCTCTCAGTTTCTATTGTACATCATACTTTTTTTTTTTTTTTGAGATGGAGTCTTGCGCTGTCACCTGGATGGAGTGCAGTGCTGAAATCTCGGCTCACTGTAACCTCTGCCTCCCAGGTTCAAGTGATTCTCCTGCCTCAGCTTCCCGAGTAGCTGGGATTACAGGCACCCACCACCACACCCAGCTAATTTTTTGTATTTTTAGTAGAGACAGGGTTTCACCATGTTGGTGAGGCTGGTCTCAAACTCCTGACCTCAGGTGATCCACCCAACTCAGCCTCCCAAAGTGCTGAGATTACAGGCGTGAGCCACCGTACCCCACCAGTATATCATTCTTTTCAAATGTAGTGTCTGGGCACAGTGGCTAATGCCTGTAATGCCTGTAATCCCAGCACTCTGGGAAGCGGAGGCAGGCAGATGACTTTAGGTCAGGAGTTTGAGACCAGCCTGGCCACCATGGCAGAACCCTGTCTAAACTAAAAAGGCAAAAATTAGCCAGGTGTGGTGGCACGTACCTGTAGTCTCAGCTACTTGGGAGGCTGAGGTATGAGAATCACTTGAACCTGGGAGGCAGAGGTTTTAGTGAGCCAAGATCATGCCACTGCACTCCAGCCCGGGCAACAGAGGGAGATCCTGTCACAAAATAAAAAAAACAAATAAAAATAAAATAAAACGTAGTGCAGGCCAGGTGCAATGGCTCATGCCTGTAACCTTAGCATAAGGATTTATAGGAGGATTGCCGAGCCAGGAGGATCGCTTGAGCTTACAAGTTTTAGACCAACCTGGGAAACATAGCAAGACCCTGTCTCTACAAAAAATTTAAAAATAAGCCGGGTGCGGTGGCATGTGCCTGTAGTCCCAGCTACTTGGGAGGCTGAGGCAGAAGCACTGCTTGAGCCCAGGGGTTCAAGACCAGCCTGGGCAACACAGCAAGACCCTGTTTCTACAAAAAATAGGAAAAACAATTAGCCAGGAGGCTGAGGCGAGAGGGCTGCTTGAGCCCAAGAGGTGGAGGCTGCAGTTAGCTATGATCATACCGATGCACTCTGATCTAAATTACAGAGTAAGATCCTGTCTCAAAAAAAAAAAAAAAAATGCAGTGCATATTAAATGAAAAAGGACATTAAATTACATGTAAAAGGGTGCCGGGCTCCAAGTTCAGAAGAGTAGAAATGGTTGTTTTACTCACATGAGTGCCTGCGTGGGACATCAGGAATGTAGACTACAGAATTCTTCTTCATGGTACCAAATTGTCCAGAGCAAGGTGGGATGTCCAGCATTGCTGGAGTCACCCACTAAATGTCAGGGGGACCTCCAATCACTGTGACAACCAGAAGCACCCCACCTATTTTCCACATGGGGACCATTTCCCTGGGGACCAGAGATAGGGTCTCACTGTTGTTCAGGCTGGAATGCAGTGGTGCCATCATAGCTCACTGCAGCCCCAACCTCCTGGGTCCGTGATTGTCCTACCTCAGTCTCCTGAGCAGCTGGCACTACAGATGTGTGCCACCATGCCTAGTTGATTTTCATATTATTCTGCAGAGACAGTCTGACTCTGTCGCCCAGGCTGGAGTGCAGTGGTATGATCAGAGCTCACTGAAGCCTTAACCTCCCTGGCTCAAGCAGTTAATCTCCCTGATGGGTGGCTCAGGTCCATCTGCTCTGGCCTCATCCAGCACCAGGAGCAGGTGCTCAGTACCTACTCACTGAAGTCAAGTCAACTCCCCAAAGCCTGGGAGCTGCATAGATTGGAAGTGACGACTGAGAATCAGCCCTGTTCAGCTGCTCCCACTGGGACTTGAGGCACTCACGTGTGTATCTTTCCTTCCAGAAAACCCTAGACGACCTGCAGGCTGAGGAGGACAAGGTGAACCACCTGACCAAGAGTAACAGCAAGCTGAACACGCAGATCCATGAGGTAACACCCATTGCCATCGCTGTTTCTACAACTCCAAGGCCAGATCCCTCTGGAGGCACAGGGTCCGAAGATAAGTTTTGGGAACTGAACCGATGCATCCCCTGGGATGTTACAGCCCTTCTGAGGCCACAGCTAAAGGATCGGATCCAGTCTGGTTCCTTGTTGCTTTCTGACCTCAGACTTTCCTCTTCTGCCTTCTCTTGCTGTTCGTGTCTCCGTAGCTGGAGGATAACTGGGAGCAGGAAAAGAAAATCCGGGCAGAGGTGGAAAAGGCTCGTCGGAAAGCTGAGAGCGACCTGAAGATGACCATCGACAACCTCAATGAGATGGAGCGTTCCAAACTGGATCTTGAGGAGGTGGTGAAAAAGTACGTCTGTGTCATCGTTTGTTTTGTCCGTCACAATGGTAGCAATAGCTGGAGCTGCCTGAAGGGTGCCAGGAGCCAGGCACTGTATGGAGGGCCTCACATACATTCGTGCACGTCCCAAGCACCTACCAGGCATGGAGGATATGCAGAGAGGTAGGGGCTTCACTGTCTGCAGGGAATACACAGCATCACACAATACCTAGTGGGCACTGGGGAGGAGACGAGCGCCACCACCCCCGGGAACAGAGGACTCAGCAGGGTAGGGAGGCATCATAAAAGCCTGTGACCTGGCCGGGCACAGTGGCTCACGCCTGTAATCCCAGCACTTTGGGAGGCCGAGGCGGGTGGATCACGAGGTCAAGAGATCGAGACCATCCTGGTCAACATGGTGAAACCCCATCTCTACTAAAAATACAAAAAAAATTAGCTGGGCATGGTGGCGCGTGCCTGTAGTCCCGGCTACTCGGGAGGCTGAGGCAGGAGAATTGCCTGAACCCAGGAGGCAGAGGTTGCGGTGAGCCAAGATCACGCCATTGCACTCCGGCCTGGGTAACAAGAGTGAAACTCCGTCTCAAAAAAAAAAAAAAAAAAAGCCTGTGACCTGGGGTTGGGCATGGTGGCTCACACCTGTAATCCCAGCACTTTAGGAGGTCAAAGTGGGAGGATGGCTTGAGGCCAGGAGCTCAAGACCAGCCTAGGCAACACAGCAAGACCCCCGTCTCTACAAAAAATACAAAAATTAACTGGGCATGATGGAGCCAGCCTGTGGTCCCAGCTACTGGAAAGGCTGAGGCGGGAGGATCACTTAAGCCCAGGAGGTTGCGGCTGCAGTGAGCCATGATTATGCCACTGCACTGCAGTCTGGGCAACAGAGCAAGACCCTGTCTCAAAAAAAAGTGTCACTTTAGTAAATGTGTGAATGAATGAGTGATGAAAAGTCTGAGGAGCTCATTCAGAGGTCTAACTGCTGTGTAGGTGAGACCTTCTGGGCTGTCACCACAGACCAGAAGGCCTGTGAGGTGCATGCGTTTCGGCAGGTTCAAGGCCTCCTCTGGCAGCCTGGGTGCCATTCCCTCACCAGCTGACTGGTCTACCCTCAGAGCCTTTCCTCAGGAGACCATCCCTTCCCTTGTAGGAGAGATTTGGAAATAAACTCTGTCAACTCGAAATATGAGGATGAGCAGTCTCTGAATTCCACGCTGCAGCGGAAACTGAAGGAGCACCAGGTATGTCCAGGAGCGAGAAGCCTGAGCTCTCCATTGGAAATGCACCACTCTGACTGCTTTGTTCATGTCAGCTACTGGACAGTTGAGTGTCCCTGAGGAGCAAGATTGCCATGGAGTCCTTGGAGATCGACCCGTGTTCTCCTCGCTAAGGGTGAAATCCAAAGTCCCTATGACGGTCATGAGGCCCTCCAACCTCCAGCCTCTGCTTCGCCGGGTGTCACACATGCCAGGCCCCCTTCTGCCTGCCTCAGGGCCTTTGTGCATGCTCGCTAGGATCTGCTTCTCTCCACTTTTGACAGTAGCTGTCATATTCTCACTTCCCTATTTTCCATCCTAAAAGGCTAAGGGGCTAACTTACTAACTTTGCACGAGAGATGAATCCTCTCCCTTCTCTGTCTGCTAGGCCCGAATTGAAGAGCTGGAAGAAGAACTAGAAGCCGAGAGGGCCATGAGAGCCAAGGTAAATGAAATATGTTTCCCCTTCTTGAGTCAAAAGACCTAATGGCAGCTACACATCCAACCATGAATAGAAACCTCTGCTAAGGAAACCAGTAGAGGAGACAGGTGTCCAGCTAAAAAGTCTAGTTGCTTCTTGCATACCTACTGTGTGCCAGGGACTGAACTGGCACACAGTAGGTATTCAATTAATCCACATTAATCATGATGTAAAAGGCAGATACTCTGTGTGGCTTGAGTCCAGAGGAAAAGAGGCTGGTTCTACCTGGGGCACACAGGGGAGGAAACACTTGATCTCAAAGATGGAATTCAACAGGCAGATGCAGGGAGGAATGTCTAGGCAAAGGGAATCAAATAGCACCTACCTTCATGGGGACGAAAGTATAGACGGAGAAAGCACGTGTTAGCAAGAACAGAGTATGGAGGGAGGCCTGACGGTGGGGATCCTACAGGACAGTGAGCCCAGAAAGCTGGTGGGAGACAAATCACAGCATATCTAACCCCAAATTCAGCCAAATTGGACAGGTGGTGGGTAGGATGCGCACTAATGCCCAGGCAGTGTGGGGAAGACAGACAGTGTCCTTCACTGAGCCTGCAGGATGACAGGCAGGGCATAAAGCCCCCAGGCACAGAATCCTGGCTTCTCAAAGGTAAAGCAGTCATCATGCTCTTTACTGGAGAAAAAGGAGCTCTGGGTGGTTATCATCGGTATCATTAAATCTCACCCAGCGGCCAGGCACAGTGGCTCATGCCTATAATCTGAATACTTTGGGAGACCAAGGCAGGAGGATCACTTGAGACCAGTATACCAGCCTAGGCAACATGGTGAAGCCCCATATCTATGAAAAATTTACAGATTAGCCGGGTGTGGGGGCATGTGCCTGTAGTGTCAGCTACTCGGGAGGCTGAGGTTAGAGGATTGCGTGAGCCAGGCAGGCAAAGGTTGCAGTGAGTCGAGATGGCACCACTGCACTACAGCCTGAACCACAGAGGAAGGCTGTATCTCAAAAAACAACAAAAAAAATTTCATCTCAGGTGGAGAAACAACGCAGTGATCTGTCCCGGGACCTCGAAGACCTCAGTGACAGGCTGGAAGAAGCTGGTGGAGCCACATCTGCTCAGGTACCCATCCCAGGGAGCTCAGAAACCCCCAGCCCCATCTGCATTTAGGGGAAAAAATGCTGGATTATGAGCAGTAGGAGAAACCAATTAATAATTTTAAAATGAGGCCTGAAGCGATGGCTCACACCTATAATCCCAACACCTGGAGAGGCAAAGGCAGAAGGATCACTTGAGCCCAGGGGTTTCCGGCCAGCCTGGGCAACACAACAAAACCCCATCTCTCCAAAAAAAAAAAAAAAAAACCTGGGCATGGTGGCATGTTCTAGTTCCAGCTACTCAAGAAGTTAAGTAGGAGGATCACTTGAGCCTAGGGAGGTGGAGGCTGTGGTAAGCCGCTATGGCACCACTGCACTTCAGCCTGGGTGACAGAGCAAGACCCTGTCTCTCAAAAACAAACAAAGAGTTTGCTACTCACAGTTCCCAAAAGGAGGGGGCACAGCATGCTGTGCAGGGCCAAAGAAGCACTAGGGTTGGTTAGAAGGCAGAGGACAGGAAGAAATGTAGGCAAAGGCCTTTACTGTGGCTCCTGTGGGAAGGAACAGGTGAGGCAGGGCAAACAGGCTCTGAACTGGCCAGTTTGGACAATCTCAGTGGACTTCAGGGCTGACCCTAGTTGTTGGTACCTGGACCTGGACTGATTAAGGCAGGAGTATAGTGAGTAGAAACGTGAGAGCCCAGCCGGGCGCAGTGGCTCATGCCAGTGATTCCAGCACTCTGGGAGGCTGAGATGGGTGGATCACTTGAGGTCAGGAGTTCAAAACCAGCCTGGCCAACATGGTGGAACCCCATATCTACTAAAAAAAAAAAAAAATTAGCTGGGTGTGATGGGGGGTGCCTGTAATCCCAGCTACTCAGGAGGCTGAGGCAGGAGAATCACTTGAACTCAGGAGGCAGAGGTTGTAGTGAACCAAGAGCACACCATTGCACTCCAGCCTAGGCAACAGAGTAAAACTCCATCTCAAAAAAACAAATAATGTGAGAGCCCCATAAAGGAGGTAGTTGGGGGTATGGGTTCTAGACTGGCTGGTTTGCATTTGAATAGTGTGCTCAAGGGTGAGTTGTTTGCTATCCCTAGGGTAGGGCAGTGGTGTCCCTCTAGAGATAGCAAAAACCCAGATGTCAAAGCATTGAATATAGAAAATAAAGATATGGTTAATACAGTGGGGTGACCTCACTACCCCACACTTCAAGGGCACTCCTCTGACAGGCAAATGGGGCTGAGACCCGAGCCTCACCTCCTGGTGTGGGGCTGTGTCTTCTAATTCACATGAAGGTGTCATGGGGACCAGCAGAAGCCATGTGGCCGCCTCTTTCTAATTGCATGTCATCAGCTCTCCTCAGTCACAGCTGCTGGAAGTCTGGGCCCCTTTACCTGGCGCTGCCTGGACTCCATGTCCACTGCCTTATCAACCTGGCCATAGTCCTCTCAGTAAGGGTATGTGCCTAGATCTGAAGCTGGTGCCCAGCTGTGGTCAGGGTCCTGGCAGGAAACAAAATCATTCCCCATGGTATGAATGACAAAGCATCAATGAAAGGACAGGGATGATTTCTAGCAGTGTAGGAAGGGTTTACAAACAACAGGGGCAAGGGTGTGGCGGCTCATGCCTATATCCCAACATTTTGAGAAGCTGAAGCTGGAGGATCGCTTGAGGCCAGGAGTTTGTGACTAGCCTGGCAACATAGCAAGACCCCATCTCTAGAAAAAGAAAAATCGCTGGTAGTAGTGGCAGGCCCCTTTAGTCACAGCTACTCAGGAGGCTGAGGTGGGAGGATTGCTTGGGCCCAGGAAGTTAAGGTTGCAGTGAGCCAAGATCATACCACTGCACTCCAGACTGGATGACAGAGTAAGACTCTGTGTCAAAAAAAAAAAAAAAAGAAGGGCAGGAGAGGGGATCACAGACTTGGTGGCTTAAAACCTCAGGATGGTATTCTTTCACAATTAGGAGGCCAGAAGTATGAAAACAAGATGTGGGTAGGGTTGGCTCCTTCTGGAGGCCCTGAGGGAGAATGTTTCATCCTCCTCTCCCAGTCTCCAGTGGTAGCTAACAATCCTTGGAGCTTCTGGCTGGATGCATCCTTCCAATCATAGGGCCTTCTTTATGTGTGTCTCTCTGGGTCCAAATTTCCCTCTTCTGAAAAGGACATCAGGCGGGGCATGGTGGTTCATGTCTGTAATCCCAGCACTTTGGGAGGCCAAGGCAGGCAGATCACCTGAGGTCAGCAGTTTTAGACAAACCTGGCCAACGTGGTGAACCCCTGTCTCTACTAAAAATACAAAAATTAGCCAGGAGTGGTGGCAGGTGCCTGTAGTCCCAGCTACTCGGAGGCTGAGGCGGGAGAATTGTTTAAACTCCGGAGGCAGAGGTTGCAGTAAGCCAAGATTGCACCACTGCACTGCAGCCTGGGGGACAAGAGTGAAACTCCTCAAAAAAAAAAAAAAAAAAAGGACGTCAGTCAGTCATTAGCTTAGGGTCCACCCTAATCCAGTATGACATCTTAACCAGCTCTATCTGCAAAGACGCTACATCCAAATCAGGTAATATTCACAGGGACCCGGGATTAGGACTTGAGTATATCTTTTTGGGTGGCACAGTTTAACACACGACCCTCTCTAAACAAATCCTGTGAACAACCCCCTCACCCCAGAGGCTAAGCATTGGTATTTCAAGTAGGACTTCTTTTAGCAAGGTGCAGGAATATCAGGGGACCACCGAGCAGCTGGGCAGTGTCCACCCTGAAAAGGCTGGCACTGGCCAGTTCTGCTAAGCTGCTCCTCCTCTACCCCAGATCGAGCAGAACCGCAAGAGGGAGGCTGAGCTGCTAAAGCTGCGGCGGGAGCTGGAAGAGGCTGCCCTGCAGAGCGAGGCAACAGCCTCCACGCTGCGCAAGAAGCACATGGACTCGATGGCCGAGTTAACGGAGCATGTGGAGAACCTGCAGAGGGTCAAGTCCAAGCTGGAGAAGGATAAACAGGTCATGAAGGCTGAGATCGATGACCTCAATGCCAGTGTGGAGACCATGCAGAAGTCCAAGGTGAATAACATAAATGTGTGCTGGGCACAGTGGCTCACTCCTGTAATTCCAGCACTTTGGGAGACTGAGGCAGGAGGATCGCTCTTGCGAGGCCAGGAGTTGGTGACCAGCCTGGACATCAAAGCCAGACCTCATCTCTACAAAAAATAAAATTAGCCAGGCATGGTAGCATGAGCCTGTAGCCCTCAGGAAGCTGAGGCAGGAGGATTGCTTGAGCCCAAAATGTTGAGACTGTAGTGAGTATGACGCATCACTGCACTCCAGCCTGGGCAATAGAGTGAGACCCTGTCTCTAAAATAAAATAACCTGCCAGGCACGGTAGCTCACAGCCAGGCACCATGGCTTACAAAAATTAGCCAGGCATGGTGGCGCACACCTGTAGTCCCAGCTACTCAGGAGGCTGAGGCAAGAGAATTGCTTGAACCTGGGAGGTGGAGGATACAGTGAGCCAAGATCACTCCACTGCACTCCAGCCTGGGCAACAGAGCAAGACTCCATCTCAAAAAAAGATAAAAAATAATATCCTAACTCTGCTTCAATTTCTTCATCTGTAACATGAAGATGATTGTAATAATCCCCACCTTAGAGTGCTACTGTGAAGGCTGCAATAGTCCCTGGCACATAAGAAATGGTCAGTAGGCCAGGCACAGTGGCTAATGCCTGTAATCCCAGCACTTTGAGAGGCCAAGGCAGACAGATCACTTGAGCCCAGTTTGAGGCCAGCCTGGGCAACATAGTGAAACCCTGTCTCTACAAAAAATAAAAATAACTAACCAGGTATGATAGCATGTGCCTGTGGTCCCAGCTACTAAGGAGGCTGGGGTGAGATGATTGCTTGAGCCCAGGATGTTGAGGCTACAGTGAGCTATGATTGCACCAATGCACTCCAGCCTGGGTGACAGAGCGAGACTTTGTCTCAAAAAAAAAAAAAAAGAAAAGAAAAGACAATGGTGAGCCATTTGGGGTTTCTGAGACCGGGACATTCTAGAAAGACTAGGCAGGTGGCCTGGGAGGCACATAAGAGAAACAGCAAAAATTGAGAGGGAAGTAAGAAGGGTTTGCCTCTCCCACCCGCAACTTCCCCACTGAGTTCATCCTTCCTGAGCAGATGAACGCCGAGGCCCACGTCAGAAAGCTGGAAGACAGCTTATCAGAAGCCAACGCCAAGGTGGCAGAGCTAGAGCGAAACCAAGCAGAAATCAATGCCATTAGGACCCGCCTCCAAGGTGAGCCCTCTCCTCCCTGAAGCTTGCTAAGGAGCAGTGCATAGAAAGGAACTGGGATTCTCAGGGAAACATTGCTTTCTTGGCCTTGGAAGATTCCCATCCAATCCCCTTGTGATGAGATGAGATTTTAATTCCACCTGCTGAATATTCCAAGTAACCTCTTTACAATGCAAAACAGGGAACACAATTCAAAGCATTCTGGTATCCGTTCTCTCACCTACCTGGTGAGATCAGCAGGACAGGCATTCGTGCTGACAAAATACAATTTTCAAACATTTTTAAACATGACCCACATACTAATATAAAGCGGACATGTGTCAAGGATTTATTTAACTCCTTAATGAGGGAACCAGAAAAATGGTAAAGCTGCCTTCAAAGAGCATTTGAAAGGCAGAGATTTACAGTCAGCTGGGAAAAGAAATGCTAAAATAACTTTGCTAAGTTAGATGCAGAACTGGTTAATGTCCTACAGGACAATAATACTGTAATCTCTGGGTTTAGTTTAAGGGTTTTTTTTTCCGATGCTGGAAGAAATGCACCTTTGTCATAGAGATCCATCTTTGCATCGCTAAAACAAAAATAATTGGCAATAACAAAACAAAACTGGCATCTCTATAACAAAAATAATTGGCACCTTTGTCATAGAGATGCATGTTTGCATCTCTATAACAAAAATAATTGGCAATTTATCAATGTATCAGTTAATTTCTAACTGCAGGAGCTGTACTCTAATCACACATGAGTAAACAGTAAGTCAAAGGTGCATTTCCTTAGAGAACTATATACTGCTGACTTCGGATGGGCCTGTTAGTGCTTCAGTGTGACATCAAGAGAACCTGCAGGCATCCATTGGCCTTATTTCTCACATTTGGAATTCTCTAACAATATCCTGGCTGGGTGCAGTGGCTCATGCTTACAATTCCAGTAGTTTGGGAGAGAGACCAAGGCGGGAGGATCACTTAAGGCCAGGAGTTTGAGACTAGCCTGGGCAACAGAGCAAGACCCCCAACTCTACAAAAAAAAATTTTTTTAATAGGTGGGTGTGATGATTCACACTGGTAGTCCCAGCTACTTGGGAGGTTGAGGTGGGAGGATCGCTTGAGCTCAGGAGTTCAAGGCTGCAATGAGTTATGATTGTGTCATTGCATTTCAGCCTGGGCAACCAAGCAATACCCTGTCTCAAAAAAATAAACGGAAAGAAAAATCAATATCCCCATTTGACGGATAAGAAAAGTAAAGCTCAGTGACTGTACAGAGTAGAACTGGAAATCCTTGCTTTTCCTCTTGGGCTCATGAACTTCTTCCTGGCCTCTGGCTCCAGCAATCATACCACAAATGACAGGAGTCTAGGTTCTGGAATGGTGACAAACATATTTTACAAAGGAAATACTCTCTGTCTGTCCCACTGTTTCTCCAAGCTCCTCTGCTGCATCTCCTGACATGTAGGAAAGGGGGGCTTCATTATCTGAGGCCACTAGCTCCATGCAGACCACCTGAATCTTGGCAACCCTTGAGCACTTGCCTTTCTCTTGGGCACACTTCATTTGGAGGCTGGTGTGGTGATCCACTGTTCTCCCCATTCCAGCTCAGTTGGCCAAGTCACCATATTTATTGGGTACTTTAGGAGCAATGCCTTGGGGAACTGAAGGTCTGGCTGGGGAAACAGTTCTTCATCCAATATTTCTTCCATTCCCTTCCCACCCAGCTGAAAATAGCGAACTGAGCAGGGAATATGAAGAATCCCAGAGCAGGCTCAATCAAATCCTAAGGATAAAGACATCTCTGACATCACAAGTGGATGATTATAAGAGGCAGCTAGATGAAGAGTCAAAGGTATGTTTGGGGGTAGGGTTGTGGTGGTGACAGAGCTGCCTCCTTAAAGTTATAGGTTACAGCCGGGCGAGGTTGGCTCATGCCTGTAATCCCAGCACTCTGAGAGGCCAAGGCAAGCGGATCACCTGAGGTCACGAGTTCAAGACCAGTCTGGCCAACATGGCAAAACCCTGTCTCTACTAAAAATACAAAAATTAGCCAGGCGTGGTTGGGCGCCTATAATCCCAGCTACTCGGGAGGCTTAGACAGTAGACTTGCTTGAACCCAGGAGGCAGAGGTTGCAGGGAGCCGAGATCACACCATTACACTCCAACCTGACCTGGGTGACAAGAGTGAAACTCCATTTCAGAAAAAAAAAAAAAAAAAGAAAGATTCCAAGTATGGTGGTGCACACCTGTACACACCCAGCTAAAGAAAGTTACATATTATGAAGATGTTAAATGAACACAAAAAGTATTTGATATCATAGCAAGTAAAAAAGTTAACTACAAAACTATAGCATGTGATGTGTACATACTGAGACCCTGTCTCAAATAAATAAATAGGGCCACAAGCAGGATAAAATTTGCCCCTTAAAGTTACACGATGCACCAAATGAAATGAAATTATATATCTTTGTGGACAGTAATAGAATGAAAATAAATTATAGGATGAAAATAAAACCCTGATGGTTTGGACTGTGCAATCGAGTCTTTTCCCCCTTTCACCTACCATCACTGCTGCTCCAGTGTTATGTATAACTAAGTGGTGGCCCTGTGGGCTGCAGAAAGCCCCCACGGGCCCCTGACAGGCTGGTCCCCACAGTCTCGCAGCACCGCCGTGGTGAGCCTGGCCAACACCAAGCATGACCTGGACCTGCTGAAGGAGCAGCTGGAGGAGGAGCAGGGAGGCAAGTCGGAGCTACAGCGCCTCGTGTCCAAACTCAACACCGAGGTCACCACCTGGAGGACCAAGTATGAGACCGATGCCATCCAGAGGACAGAGGAGCTGGAGGAGACCAAGTGAGTATCGTCCTCCTGCTGGTAGAGCCAGGTGGGCTGGGCAGGTGGCGCTGGGGGCCTCACTTCCATGTCAGTCACTGCTGAGGCCAGGGCCAAGCCCAGGAGAAGGATGTTCAGAGGCTCCTTTAAGAGGAGGACAATGTGTCTGGACAATGGAGCCTGCTTTGTGGGCCAACCATGGTGACTCATGCCTGTATTCACAGCACTTTGAGAGGCCATGGTGGGAGAATTGCTTAAGCCCAGAAGTTGGAGGCCAGCCTAGGCAACATGGTGAGATCCTCATCTCAACAAAAAATTACAAAATTAGCCAGGCATGGTGGCATGTGCCTGTAGTCTCAGCTACTTGGGAGACTAAAGTGGGAGGATTGCTTGAGTCCAGGAATTGGAGGCTGCAGTGAGTAATGATCAAGCCACTGCACTCCAGCCTGGATGACAGAGCAAGATCCCGTCTCTAAAAAAGAAAAATTACAGGTCAGGCATGGTGGCTCACGCCTGTAATCCCAGCACTTTGGGAGGCCAAGATGGGTGGATCACAAGGTCAGGAGATCAAGACCATCCTGGCCAATATGGTGAAACCCTGTCTCTACTAAAAATACAAAAAAAATAAAATAAAATAACCAGGCGTGATGGCACACACCTATAGTCCCAGCTGCTCAGGAGGCTGAGGCAGGGGAATCTCTTGAACCCGGGTGGCGGAGGATGCCATCAGCCGAGATTGTGCCACTGCGCTACAGCATGGATGACAGAGCAAGACTCCATTTCAAATGAAAAAAAGAAAAAAATTACAGAAGTGGACACCTAAGGAAATAAGGGGGGACATGAAAGTGGCTCTGAGCCTCTCTCTTGTGTAAAAGGAGGCTGGCCTGAGTGCCCCTGGGTCCGTGCACCCATGGAAACCCTGTGAGTTAGGCACCCTAGGCCAGGCAGCAGAGGAAAGCCACGACAAATTAAATCAAAAAACATAGTCAACTTAACAAACTCCTCTATAAAATTCTGGGTTCTCTGAACAAATGGCCACATTTTTTCTTGTATAAAGCCAAATTAGATATAGAAAATGGCACACGTGCTCTAAGTGTTTCTGGGATCCCAGCCTGCTGACTGGTCCCATCCATTCACTGAAATTTCTGGTAATGTGATAGCAAATAAGGCATAGTGACTTCCAGCTGATGCAATACTTTTCTTTTTCTTTTTTTTTTTTTTGCCTTATACTGAAATACAATCCAAGCAGGTGCAATACTTTCATCTAAAGCTCTAAGCTCTTTTTCACCTTGAGCCTAAATTTGCCTTCCTGTGACTTCCACCTCTGTCCTCCAGGCCTTTGTTATGGAGGCTGCTGGGCCCTGCCTGGTCCTCCCCCAAGTCTACTCCTGCGCTAAACCTAAATCTCAACCCCTAAGCTTGTCTCTGCCCCAGACACCCTCAGGGCCCCTCCATCCCAACTTAGACCTTTGCCTGTGTCCGCTTCTCAGAGTCTCCCCCAAGTCTGCATTTGACATTGTCACCCCCTCCCACCTGGACTGCCTGTCCCCTTCTTGGCTCTATTTGTCACCACAGTACTACATTCTATAGGACATGTATTGCCTGCCTCCCCCTAGCTCCAGAACAAACATTTTGTTTGTTAGGGCAGATAGCCTAGCCTGTTTTATTCACTGCTGTATCCCTAACACCTGCAGCAATCCCTGGGGCAGAGTAGAGAAAATAAGTGTTTCTTGAATGAATAAATAAGACAGTGAATGCGGTGGCTCTCCTGTAAACAATGCATCTTTTCCAACGTTGGCACCAGAGCTTAGTACCATGCCCACCACACTGTGACCCTGGCAATGAGAAGGCGGTGCCTGTGAGTGTCTATGTTTCCTTGACAGCCCCTCTGGCCCTCATTTGCAGGAGGAAACTGGCCGCCAGACTTCAGGAGGCAGAAGAAGCAGCTGAAACTGCCCAGGCCCGGGCTGCCTCCCTCGAGAAAAATAAACAGAGACTCCAGGCAGAAGTTGAGGACCTCACCATCGACTTGGAGAAGGTCAGAGGGTCAAATGCTCAAAACTGCCTATTTACCATGGGCGGCAGGGCTAGGGAGAGACTGTCACACATCTGGGATCATCAGAAAGAAACACATGGCTCAAGAAGGTGCAGCACAGCGGTACCTTCAGGAGCGTGCTAGACATGGCTGCTGCTTGAGCACACGTTCATGAACTCTTCTGAGATCTAACACTCAACAAGCTACTGTTTAAACAGGGCCACAAGACCAAGCACAGTGGCTCATGCCTCTAATCCCAACATTTAGGGAGACCCTATCTCCACAAAAAACAAAAATTATTTTATTATTTTTAGTTTTTGAGACAGAATTCCGCTCTTATTGCCCAGGCTGGAGTACAGTGATGTGATCTCAGTGCACTGCAACCTCTGCCTCCTGGGTTCAAGCGATTCTCCTACCTCAGCCTCCTGAGAAGCTGGGATTACAAGTGCCTGCCAACACACCTGGCTAAGTTTTTGTATTTTTAGTAGAGATGGGATTTCATCATGATCTCGAACTCCTGACCTCAGGTGATCCACCTGCCTCAGCCTCCCAAAGTGCTGGGATTACAGGTGTGAGCCACTGCGCCTGGCCCCCAAAAAATGTTTAAATTAAAAACTTAGCCAGGTGTAGTGGCACATGCCTGTGGTCCCAACTACTTGGGAGGCTGAGGCATGAGGATCATTTGAACCAGGGGTTCAAGGATACAGTGAGCTGTGATTGTACCACTGCACTCCAGCCTGGGGGACAGAGTAAAAACCTGTCTCAAATAAATAGGGCCACAAGCAGGACAAAATCTGCCTCTGAAAGTTACACGATGCACCCTCCCTGTTCCCCCCTCTCTTACACAAACTACGTCCCACATACTTTGCATGGCTAACTATTCCTATTTGCATCCCTGGTTCAAACTGAGTTGCCAGTCTCTATGAGAATTATATAAGATTTGCAGTGGCATACACCTCCCTGGTCTTGGTCTAGATGGGACCATGATTTATGCTGGCTGTCAGAGGCCAAATGCAGCCCAATGAAAGAATGTGGCTGCATGAAGTGGCCACATAGGCAGGAGGTCACATCCATGTGAAAGGTTTCAGAAAAAAAGTTCTGGCTCGGTGGTTCACGCTTGTCATCTCAGGACTTTGGGAGGCTGAGGTGGGAAGATTGCTTAAGCCCAAAAGGCTGAGGATACAGTTAACTATACTTAGGCCATTGCACTCCAGCCTAGGCAACAGAATGAGACCTCACCTCCTAAAATAAAAAAATAAAAATAAATTGGGCGTAGCTCACACCTATAATCCCAGAACTTTGGGAGGCCAAGGCGGGCAGATCACCTGAAGTTAGGAGTTTGAGACCAGCCTGGACAACATGGCGAAACCCCATCTCCACTAAAAATACAAATATTAGTCAGGCGTGGTGGCACACACCTGTAATTCAAGCTACTCAGGAGACTGACACAGGAGAATTGCTTGAACCCGGTAGGTGGAGATTGCAGTGAGTCAAGATCACGCCACTGCACTCCAGCCTGGGCAACAGAGCCAGATTCTGTCTCAAAAAAAAAAAAAAAAAAAAAAAAAAAACTCCTGAAACTCAAAAAGGTTTTGCTACTCCGCAAAAGAAACAATGCAAAACTTTACAAAAGTTAATATAGCACAACAGCAAATAGTTGCCAGGGAGTTATGAGAAAGATGAAACCTATGGAAAAATAAAGTAAAAGAATAGTCAGATATGAATTGGAAAATGACGCATAATGTATATTACTGCATTACAGTGAAATACATTAAGGGGAGTTAGGCTGAATGTTGTAAATCTGGAAAGGCCACTGTGACTCAAACTCCTCATTTTACATTTTACAATTCTCTCATTTGAGAGAATTCTAACCTGGGAAAATAAGGTGGAATGCCCCAGGCCACACATCTCTGGGAAGTTTTAGAATCATGCAACTCTTTGCAGATTCTCTGTTCTGTGCCTCTGCCATAGGTGTTGAATTATATTCAAATTCCCAAGGGGTCTACAGCCTCAAGAGTTACTGGGGAAAGGGAAGGAAGAGTGGTTGGTGGGGGATGGGAGGAGGGGACAGAGGCAGGGAGGTTGGACCCCTAGAGACCATTTCCACCTTACTCTAGGCCAATGCTGCAGCCGCTGCCCTGGACAAGAAGCAGAGGCTCTTTGACAAGATGCTGGCCGAGTGGCAGCAGAAGTGTGAGGAGTTGCAGGTGGAAGTGGACAGCTCGCAGAAGGAATGCCGCATGTACATGACAGAGAGCTTCAAGATCAAGACGGCCTACGAGGAGTCTCTGGAGCATCTAGAGTCAGTGAAGAAGGAGAATAAGACCCTGCAGGGTGAGTCTGAGGGCAGGTGGATGAGATGGGCCTGTAGGGATGGGGACATAGCCAGACCCCCCTTCATCCTGAGCACATCATCAGTTGAGCACCTGGCACACAGTAGGTGCTCAATAAGTGTTTGTTGACTGACTAGCAAGTGCTTTGTAGAAGCACTTCAGCATTCAGCAGTGTAACTTTAGGTGAGTTGCTTAATCTTTCTATGCTTCACTTTCCTCACTTATACAATGAGGAAATAATCAGCATGGTGGCTCATGCCTGTAATCCCAGCACTTTGGGAGGCTGAGATGGACGGAACACTTGAGATCAGAAGTTGGAGACCGGCCTGACCAACATGCTGAAACCCCATCTCTACTAAAAATACAAAAAATTACCAGGCATGGGAGTGGCCGCCTGTATTTTTTTTTTTTTTCCTTTCTGTTGTATGTAGCCTGTAGACCCAGCTACTTGGGAGGCTGAGGCAGGAGAATTGCTTGAACTGGGGTGGGAGGAGGAGATGGGGGCTAGAGGTTGCAGTGAACCGAGTTAATGCCACTGTACTCCAGCCTAGGCAACAGAGAAACACTATGTCTCAAAAAATAAAAATAAAATAAAATAATTCTACCTTACTTAAAAGGTGGTCATGACATGAAATAAGATTATGGGCTGGGCACAGTGGTTCATGCCTGTAACCCAACACTTTGGGAGGCCAAGGGGGGCAGATCACCTGAGGTCAGGAGTTCGAGACCAGCCTGACCAACATGGAGAAATCCCATCTCTACTAAAAATACAAAATTAGCCGGACATGGTGGCACATGCCTGCAATCGCAGCTACTCTGGAGGCTGAGGCAGGAGAATCACTTGAACACAGGAGGCAGAGGTTACAGTGGGCCAAGATTGCGCCATTGCACTCCAGCCTGGACAATGAGTGAAACTCTGCCTCAAGAAAAAAATAAAATAAAAAAGATTATGGCCAGATGTGGTAGCTCGTATCTACAATACCAGCACTTTGGGAGACCTGCTTCTTACCCCAATGGAGGAATGACTGTGCCACCTGCCATGACCCTGGAATGCTGAGTCTTACTAACATGAATATTTTTATCTCAGAGGAGATAAAGGATCTCATTGATCAGCTGGGTGAGGGAGGAAGGAGTGTGCATGAGCTGCAGAAGTTGAAGAAAAAATTGGAGATGGAAAAGGAAGAACTCCAGGTGGCGCTGGAAGAAGCTGAGTCTTCCCTGGAGGTACCGTGGGGCCATCACCTTGGGGACTGTGGACGCTTGGCCAGGCACTGCACACCTTCTTGGCCAGAAAGACTAATGTTTTTATTCCTGGTAGGTTGAAGAGAGCAAGGTGATTCGAATTCAGTTGGAACTGGCTCAAGTTAAAGCTGACATTGACCGGAGAATCCATGAGAAAGAAGAAGAATTTGAGGCTACCAGGTACGGAGCTGGTGGGATGGGAGGCTGACTCTTAAGCAGTGTGATGGCGCAGAGTCCAGAAACCCAGGTCTCTCCCACCTACTAGTCATGTGACCTTGGGCAATTCAGGTGAACCGCTCTGAACCTTAGCTTCCTCATCTGTGAATTGGAAATAAAGACTGGCTTCATACTGTTGTTTCACTCTCTGGTTTACGAACACTTTGGGTTTTTTTTTTTTTTTTTTTTTTGAGACAGAGTGTTGCTCTGTTGCTTAGGCTGGAGTGTAGTGGTGCAATCGTGGCTCACTGCAACCTCTGCCTCCTGGGTTCAAGCAAGTCTCCTGCCTCAGCCTCCCGAGTAGCTTGGATTACAGATGCATGCCACTGTGCCCAGCTAATTTTTGTATTTTTAGTAGAGACAGGCTTTCACTGCCAGGATGGTCTTGAACTCCTAACCTCAAGTGATCTACCCACCTCAGCCTCCCGAAGTGCTGGAATTACAGGCATGAGCCACTACACCCGGCCCATGAACACTTTAGCATGTAGTATTTTAGCCATGATCGCTAATGAAGCAGAGCATCTGTTATGTGCTCACTGGCTTTTTGTATAACGTCTTTGGAGAAAAGTCTGTTGTTTGCCCCTTTCAAAAACTGGATTGCTTCTTTTTATTGTTGAGTTGTAAGAGTTCTTTACATATTCTGGACACTAGACTCCTATCAGATTTGATTCACAGATATTTTTTCCCATTCTATGGGTTGTCTTGTTACTTTCTTAAAGGTATCCGTTGAAGCACAAAAGTTATTTAATTTTGGCTGGGTGCAGTGGCTGACACCTGTAATCCTAGCACTCTGGGAGGCTGAGATGGAAGGATTGTTGGAGGCCAGGAGTTCACGACCAGCCTATGAGACCCCATTTCTAATAAAAAGAAAAGAAAAAAAATTTTTAATCTTGAAAAAGTCCAGTATTTTTCATTTGGTCACTTGTGCTTTAGAGGTCATATCTAAAGACCCATTGCCTAATCCAGTCACAAAAATTGATGCATGTATTTCATTTGAAGAGTTGTATAGTTTAAGCTCTCCTATTTAGGGCTTTGGTACATCTTGGGTTAATTTTTGTATATGGTGTGAGGTAGGGGTTCAACTTTATTCTTTTGCATGTGGATATCTAGTTCTCCCAGCACTATTTGTTGAAAAGACTTTTCTCCCCATTGAATGATCTTGGTACCCATGTTGAAAATGAATTGACCATAAATGTGAAGGTGCCTTTCCAGAATCTCGATTCTATTCGATTGATATATATGTCTATCTTATACTAGGACCACACTGTCTTCATTACTTTAGCTCTGTAATAAGCTTTGAAATTGGGAAGTGTGTATCATACAAATTTGTTCTTCCTTTTCAATATTTTTTTGTTGTTGTTATTCTGGGTCTCTCACATTTTTAGGACCAGTCTGTGAATTTCTGCAAAGAATGAGCTAGAATTCTGATAGGGATTGTGTCAAATCTGTAGATCAATTTGAGGATTATTGCCACCTTAACAATATTAAGTCTTCTGACCCATGAACATATATCTCTTTTTGTTTATTTACATCTTCCTTAGTTTTTTCAATAATGTTTTATACTTTGTGCTTATATTTATTTTTTAAGTCAAAGTGAATCACTATTTCATTCACTTTGGGGGATGTGATAATACCCTCTCCCATATCTGGAAATTGAAAACAACTCAAGATGCTCTAAACCCAACAATGTGCCTGCAAGTAGTGGGCACTGAGGGGTGGAGCTGAGGTGAGCATAGTGAGGGGTGGGGATTTCTGAAAAGGCAGGTGACAGGGTCTTTTTTCTTTTTTTTTTTAATCTTTTTTAGTCTGCTGCAGGAGACAGGGTCTTTATATGACAACCATGTATTTGCCTCAATTCAGCAAGTGTTTAGAACACTTATGTCCTTGGTCTCCTATAAAGGGAGATTAGTATAGCTTATATGATGGCTTTATGGAAATATTTATGTTGATTACAATATAATTATTATACATGTAACCCTGGCCTGGGCAATATGTTGAAACCTCATCTTTCAAAAACATAAAAATTCAAAAATTAGCCAGGTGTGGTGGCATACACCTCCCGAGTAGTCCTAGCTACTCAAGAGGCTGAGGTAGAAGAACTGCTTGAGCCCATAAGGTCGAGGCTGCAGTGAGCCAAGATTGTACCACTGTGCTCCAGCCTGGGCAACAAAGTAAGACCCTGTCTCAAAAAATATATATATAAATATAAATAAAGACAATCAATTGATGAATGTTGTTTTGAAGAGAAATATAAACCTGACTTGCATGGCCAAAGCTCACATTCTGTAATGGAAAAACCAGGGACTTTAGCATCTGGATTTGAATCATGACTCCATTCTGGGCCAAATGCATGACCTTTGGCATGTTTTCAGCATCTGAGAGCCTTAGTGTTTTTGCAGGGCTGGTTTACATGTTAAATGTACTGGGATTATATAAGATATGTGGGAAATGTTCAGTAAATATGACCTCACTGGCCAGGCACAGAGGCTCACACCTGTAATCCCAGCACTTTGGGAAGCTGAGATGGGAGGATCACCAAAAAAAAAAAAAAAATAGCTGGGCGTAGGGGCATGGCCTGTAGTCCCAGTTACTCAGGAGGCTGAGATGAGAAGATCACTTGAACCCTGGAGTTTGAGGCTGCAGTGAGCTATGATCACACTGCTACACCACCACAGACTGTGATGGTTTTTCCATTACAGCTTGAGCCACAGAGTGAGAACTTGTCTCTAAAACAGCAAAATGACCTTCCTTTTATTTCCCCGAAGCATAAAATCCTCATCCCTGTCTTGCACCTTTTTAAGGGTTTAATTTCACGACATGGTGGCTGTACTCATGCTGGTGCTGAGACCTCTTCCCAAGAAAGGTTTAGCGCAGGCTGAACAGCCAGCAGAGTATGCCAAGGTCTTCTCTGCTTGGACTTACAGGAAAAACCACCAGCGGGCAATTGAGTCCTTGCAGGCCAGCCTGGAGGCAGAGGCCAAGGGCCGGGCAGAGGCACTTCGGCTCAAGAAGAAGATGGAGACGGACCTGAATGAGATGGAAATCCAACTGGACCACGCCAACAAGAACAACAGCGAACTTGTAAAGACACTGAAAAGGCTGCAACAGCAAATCAAGGTAGTGATCTGGGAGGAGGAGAAACTAGGTACAAGGCAGACCATTATCAGTTGAGTCTGAAGGCCTAAAGGGAGCTAATTGAATGCATGTCTTCAGCCAGGATAAAGGCATAAGAGTGAGAATGCGGGGTGGCTGGCAGTCCAGGGAATAGGAGGTTTGGGGACTATATAAATAACAGGCCCCCAACCACCAAGAGTCCAGATTCCAGACAACTGAAAAGATGGACCAAAGGAGGGAAACAGGAAGTTGGGCCTGTCTTGATTATTTGTTGATTGATTGACTGAGATGGAGTTTCACTGTTGTTGCCCAGGCTGGAGTGCAGTATCGAGATCTCAGCTCACTACAACCTCCAACTCCCAGGTTCAAACAATTCTCCTGCCTCAGTCTCCCGAGTACCTGGGATTACGGGTGCCCTCCAACACGCCTGGCTAATTTTTGTATTTTTAATAGAGAGGGGGTTTCACCATATTGGCCAGGTTGGTCTCAAACACCTGACCTCAGGTGATTTGCCCACCTTGGCCTCCCAAAGTGCTGGGATTACAGGCGTGAGCCACCACGCCCAGCCCCATTTTGATTTGTAAAATCATGTTTTACTTATTATAAACTATTTCAGACATAGAGAAATGAAGAACACAACAAAACTCATATACCCACGACTTGCCTTAAAAAATAAACAGGCCAGGTGCAGTGGCGCACGCCTGTAATCCCAGCACTTTGGGCGGCCGAGGTGGGTGGATCACGAGGTCAGAAGTTCAAGACCAGCCAGGTCAACATGGTGAAACCCTGTCTCTCAAAAAATAAAAATAAAAATAAAATAAACACAAACAGAGCTGAAGATCCCTTCATAATCACTCCATTATGAGGCTGGTCTTTACAGCATACACAGCCAGAATCACACACCCAACGCTTGCTAACTGGAGACGTGCCCTAACTAGGCACTGTTTTAGGTGTCCAAGAGTAGACAAGAAAATACTGGGCACACTTGGTGTTCACATGTAGTCCCAGTTACTCAGGAGGCTGAGGAGAGAGGATCGCTTGAGGCCAGGAGTTCCTGACCAGCCCAGGTAGCATAGCGAGACCCCATCTCCACAAAAAATAAAATTAGCTGAGCATGGTGGTGTGTGCCTGTAGTTCCAGCTACTCAGGAGGCTGAAGTGGGAGGATCACTTGAGCCCAGGAATTGGTGGCTGCAGTGAGCTATGACTACATCACTGCACTCCAGCCTGGGTGAGAGTGAGACCCTGTCTCAAAAACAACAAAAAAAGAACAAATGTGGACAAAACAGAGAAACATCACCCTGCAGATAGCAACAAAAATAAAACTGTAGTATTAAAACTGGTGATAAGTTCTACGGAGAAATAAGCAGACAGGCCAAACGCCGTGGCTCACACCTATAATCCCAGTATTTTGGGAGGCTGAGGTGGCGGATCACTAGAGGTCAGGAGTTCAAGACCAACCTGAGCAACATGGTGATACCCGGTCTCTACTAAAAATGGAAAAATTAGCCGGGTGTGGTGGCAAGCACCTGTAATCCCAGCTACTTGGGAAGCTGAGACAGGAAAATCACTTGAACCTGGGAGGTGGAGATTGCAGTGAGCCAAGACAGCACCACTGCACTCCAGCCTAGGGCACAGAGCAAGACTCCGTCTCAAAAAAAAGAGAGAAATAAGAAGACAGAAGAGAGCTGGGGATCAGCCTAGATGGGATTAGAATATGATTGTCAGAGGTCACTGGGGAGGCCTCCTTGAGAAGGCTGTGCTGGGAACACCAGGCGCTCTATCATAAGGAAAGGTTTGACTTCATGTTAGATAACTTCCTGGGTCCTGGCCCTGCTGAGGCTCCACCACACCATAAACTCCCCAAGAACAGGTCTGCTCCTCACTCTTCCTCTGTGGCCTCCCTGCCTGCCCAGTTTCCTGCCGAACCCAGTCGATAAAGATCAGGGCGCCCTCAAGCCTGGCCACCCCCACATGGTATCACGGCCCAGGGTATGGGTTCAGACTGGGTCCCTGTGCCCCTCAGGACTTGCAGGTCCAGATGGACGAGGATGCCAGGCAGCACGAGGAGCTGCGGGAGCAGTACAACCTGCAGGAGCGGCGCCTGAGCCTGCTGCAGACAGAGCTGGAGGAGGTGCGCTCGGCCCTGGAGGGCAGTGAGCGTTCACGCAAGCTGCTGGAGCAGGAGGTGGTGGAGATCACCGAGCGGCACAACGAGATCAATATCCAGGTAGGACAGGGCTCCTGAGTCAGTGCCACTCGCACCCACACTCGAGGGGCTAGGGAGTGCTGGGGTAAGGCCAGGATGGTGCCCAAACCACATGAGCGACCCTCAAAACTCAGAGGCAGGCAGTTCCCCCAACTTGGCAAATCCTCAAAACTCATCTGCAGAGCTTTTTGTAAAACTGTGATATAAAAGTCCAGGATATAAAATATATCCCAGCATGGGCTGGGTACAGTGGCTTATGCCTGTAATCCCAGCACTTGGGGAGGCTGAGGCGGGTGGATCACCTGAGGTCAGGAGTTTGAGACCAGCCTGGCCAACATGGTGAAACCCCATCTCTACTAAAAATACAAAAATTAGCCAGGTGTGGTGGCGCGAACCTGTAATCCCACCTACACAGGAGGCTGAGGCAGGAGAATTGCTTGAACCGGGGAGGCAGAAGTTGCAGTGAGCCGACATCATGCCACTGTACTCTAGCCTGGGTGACAGAGCGAGACTCCATCTCAAAAAAAAAAGTGTATGTGTATATATATATATATTTATGTATGTGTGTATATACATATATTTTATGTATGTATGTGTGTATATATAATTTATGTGTACGTATATATACATATATATGTATATATATGTGTATGTGTATATACATACACATAGACACACACCACACACACACACACACACACACACACATAAATATATATACACACATATATATAAGCTGCTACTTGGGAGGCTGAGGCACAAGATCCGTTGAACCCTGGAGGTCAAGGCTGCAGTGAGCCAAGATCGCACCACTGCACTCCAGCCTGGGCAACAGAACAAGACTCTGATTCAAAAATAAAAATGAAATAAAATATATCATCTTGGCCAGGCACAGTGGCTCACATCTGTAATCCCAGCACTGTGGGAGCCAGAGCTGGGAGGATTGCTTGAGTTCAAGAGTTCAAGACCAGCCTAGGCAACATAGCCAAATCCTGTCTGTAAAAACATACAAAAAATTAGCTGGTGGTGTGCATCTGTAGTCCCAGGTACTCAGAAGGCTGAGGTGGGAGAATCGCTTCAGCCTAAGAGGTTGAGGCTGCAGTGAGCTGTGATTGCACCATTACACAATCCAGCCTGGGTGACAGAGCAAGATCCTGCCTCAAAAAAAAAAAAAAAAAAAAATGCAGGAGAGGGACCCTTACCCCATGCAGAGGGCACAGGGCCATTTCCTGTTGGGGTCTGGCAAGCATGTCTGGCAGAGGTTGCTTTCTTTCCTGAACACAGGAAGGGCCATGAAGAACCCTGGCTCATGGTGATATCTCCCTTTCTTCCTCCAGAACCAGAGCCTCCTTGTGGTCAAACGCAAGCTAGAATCAGATGTCCAGCGCATCTCCAACGAGCACGAGGAGCTCATCAGTGAGTTCCGCTCAGCGGACGAGAGGGCCAAGAAGGCCATGACGGATGTAAGTGCGTGTGTCCCTTGCTGCTGGCAGGCAGGCCCTGGGTACCTGCTGAGGACCAGGCTGCCTGGGCAGGAAGGCCCCCTCCTCCCCTCATGGGCCACTGTGGACCCAAACATGGGGCCCTGCCAGGGAGAGTGTGGCCCAAGGCTTTTCTAAAAAGCCACACACATGAAAGTAAGAAAGAATTATAAGCTCTAGGTGATCAAGTGAAAGATGACAACACGAGGCCCAGGGTCTTGCATCAAAGAAGCCATCAAAGTGGGCTCATCTGGGCAGGCTTTTTGGCAATGGGATGCATTAAAACAACCTTGGGCTAGGCATGGTGGCTCACGCCTGTAATCCCAGCACTTTGGGAGGCAAAGGCGGGAGGATTGCTTGCGGCCAGGATTTCAAGACCAGCCTGGGCAACATAGCAAGACCCTGTCTACTAAAAATTTTTAAAATTAGCCAGGCATTGTGGCACATGCCTGTAGTCCTAGCTACTCGGAAGGCTGAGATAGGAGGATCACCTGAGCCCAGGAGTTTGAGGTTGCAGTGAGTCATGATCCCACCACTGCACTGCAGCCTGGGTGACAAAATGAAACTCTGTGTCAAAACATGAAATAATAACAGCAATAAAATAAAACAGTCTTGGGCCGGGTGTGGTGGCTCACACCTGCAGTCCCAGCACTTTGGGAGGCTGAGGCGGGCAGATCACCTGAGGTCAGGAGTTCGAGACCAGATTCCCCTCCCCTCTTGGAGGCAAAGGAGAGCATAGGGCACCCCCTCCACCAAATCCCAACATGGAGAAACCCCATCTCTACTAAAAGTTACATACAAAGTTAGCTGGGCGTGGTGGCAGGCGCCTATAATCCCAGCTACTCAGGAGGCTGAGGCAGGTGAATCACTTGAACCCGGAAGGCAGATGTTGCAATGAGCTGAGATCATGCCATTGCACTCCAGCCTGGGCAACAAGGGCAAAACTCTGTCTCAAAAAAAAAATCAGCCTTGATGGAAGTGCTAGTAAAAGGAAGATGGATGAGCCCAAGGATGCAGAGGAGGATGTTGGCAAGATGTGCCCCCAAGTGCTCTCATCCCAGTATCCCTTTGGGTGTTCACACCAGCCTCGAGTGATGGGTTCTATTTACTCCCCACTTTGAAGATGAAGGAATACAGATTTTCATCGTCAGACTCCTCTCACTTGATTGAAATCCCAAGAGTTCAGGAACACTGCTGGTCTTTATTGCTACCTCTCAAGAGCACAGGCCTGTGCCTGGTACACCGTAGACCCTCATGAACATTTGTGGAATGAATGTAAGGAGAAAGGGGCTGAGAGGGGATTAGCAACGTGCTGAAGATCACTCAGGGCTGGACACAGTCCTAGGTCTTCCAACTTCAGAGGCTGTGCTCTTCCCACCCTCCATGCTGTGCCCCTCGTGGAGGTGGCAATCAGTTGGGTTTCGCTTGAGTGCTCCCAGCTGGTGGGAGTCTGTGGGGATGGGAGGCATGAGCTTGGTTCCCCTCCCCTCTTGGGGGCAAAGGGGAGCACAGGGCACCCCCTCCACCAAACCCCAGCAGCATGTCAGTGGGGCTCCCCTTGTCAACCAATTGGTTTCCTAGAGACCGGGAGACAAGGTCTCACATCTCTCAAAGGTGCTATGAACTTGGGTAGCGCCCAGCTCTAACTCCTGCTCTTCTCCCCACCCACAGGCTGCCCGCATGGCAGAAGAACTCCGGCAAGAGCAGGACCACTGCATGCACCTGGAGAAGATCAAGAAGAACTATGAGGTCACCATCAAAGACCTGCAGGCCAAGATGGAGGAGGCAGAGCAGCTGGCTCTGAAAGGCGGGAAGCGTACAATCATGAAGCTGGAGGCCAGGGTGAGGGCGATAAAGGGCTCAGCCAAGGGAGGAACAGCGATCTGGTGGGGGGCAAGGGGATGTGGGGTGCCTGTCTTTTGCCAAAAACATGTCCTGTGCTTGATGAAGAATCGGGTTATGCAAGTGCTAGGAAAGCAGAGGAAATGGAAAGGACCAGGTGCAGTGGCTCATGCCTGTAATCCCAGCACTTTAAGAGGCCAAAGCAGGACTGCTTGAGGCCAGGATTTTGAAAACAGCCTGGGCAACATAGTGAGACCCCCACCTCTAAAAAAAAAAAAAAAAAGAAAGAAAGTTCAATTAGCTGGGTTTGGTAGCACATGCCTATAGTCCCAGCTACTCAGGAGACTGAGGTGGGAAGACAGCTTGAGCCCAGGAGGTTGAGGCTGCCGTGAGATATGATAGCACTATTGCACTTCAGACTGGGTGACAGAGCCAGACCCTGTCTCAAAAAAAAAGAGAAAAGAAGGAAAAAAAGAAAGAAGGGAGGGAGGGAAGAAGGGAGGGAAAGAAAGAGAAAAGGAAATTGAGAGAAGAGCTCAAATTTCTCTCAAGTTCTCCTCTCCGCTTTCCCTCCCTGTCACCTTCCTCCCCAGAATGTCCTTAGCCTCAAGCAGAGCAGTCCTCAATATTCTTCTTGCCTTTTATTACTCACTGAAAGAAGACAGGCCTTAGTCTTTACCCCATGAAATGCCAGAGCTGGAAGGGCCCAGAAGGTTCTGTCATTTTGTCTGACTCCCCGACACCCCGGTTTCCCAGAGGAAGGAATTTGAGGCTCAAGGGAAAGTGTCTCACGACCACAGCATTTCCTGTAAAAGGTAGAGCCCACCTGACTCTCCTGTCCAGGGTCCATCCCCTCACCTCTGGGCAGAAGGTAGACACTGCAACCACAATGCCCCTGTCTGAGGCCACTGAGCTCTGAAGTTCAAAATTATGCATTCCAGGAGGCTGAGGCAGGAGGGTCACTTGAGCACAGGAGGTCAAGGCTACAGTAAGCCATGATCATGCCGCTGCCCTCCAGCCTGGGCAACAGAGCAGGACCCTGACAGAAACACAAAAAACAAAACATACGCGTTGGCTCAGCTGCATTCCTCTCTTCCTCCCACAGATCAAGGAACTAGAGACAGAGCTGGATGGGGAGCAGAAACAGCATGTGGAGACGGTCAAGACGCTGCGTAAGAACGAGCGTCGCCTCAAAGAGCTGGTCTTCCAGACAGAGGAGGACCACAAGACCAACCAGCGCATGCAAGAGCTGGTGGAGAAGCTACAGAACAAGCTGAAGGTCTACAAGAGGCAGATCGAGGAGGCGGTGAGTGTCCATGCGCCTCCCTGCTCCTCCTTCCCTGATGCTTGTTTCTCAGTGCAAGTTGCCAGCCTTGCTGGGAATTAACCACAGGGAAAGAAGACATTGGCCCGAAGATGACTCTGCAAGGCTCACGTCCATGGTGTCTCCTCCTTGGAATCCAGTGGGGGGGAACCAGACACTATACACCAGAGATAAGAGCTTGTAAAGAGGCCAGGCATGGTGGCTCATGCCTATAATCCCAGCACTTTGGGAGGCTGAGGTGGGTGGATCACTTGAGGTCAAGAGTTTGAGACCAGCCTGGCCAACATGGAGAAACCCTGTCTCTACTAAAAATACAAAAAATTAGCTGGGCATGGTGGCGCGTGCCTGTAATCCCAGCTACTCAGGAGGCTGAGGCAGAATTGCCTGAACCCAGGAGGCGGAGGTTGTGGTGAGCCGAGATCGCGCCATTGCACTCCAGCCTGGGTAACAAGAGTGAAACTCCGTCTCAAAAAAAAAAAAAAAAAAAATTAGCCAAGCATGGTGGCGGGTGCCTGTAATACCAGCTACTCAGGAGGCTGAGGGAGGAGAATCACTTGAACCTGAGAAGCGGAGGTTGCAGTGAGTAGAGGCCACACCACTGTACTCCAGCCTGGGCAACAAAATGAGACTCCATCTCAAAAAAAAAAAAAAAAAAAAAAAACTGTAAAACAAGTGGACTCTTAGACAACCCATAGAACTAATAAAAATGCACATTTAAGCCAGGCACGGTGGCTCACGCCTATAATGCCAGCATGTTGGGAGGCTCAGGCGGGAGGATCACAAAGTCAGGAGTTCTAGACCAGCCTGGCCAATATGGTGAAACCCTGTCTCTACTAAAAATACAATAATTAGCCAGGCGTGATGTTGCATGCCTATAATCCCAACTACTTAGGAGGCTGAGGCAGGAGAATCACTTGAACCTAGGAGGCAAAGGTTACAGTGACCCAAGATTGTGTCACTGCACTCCAGCCTGGGTGACAGAGCAAGACTCTGCCTCAAAACAAACAAACACATGCACATTTAGGCTGGCGCAATGGCTCACGCCTATAATCCCAGCACTTTGGGAGGCCAAAACAGGTGGATCACCTGAGGTCAAGAGTTGGAGACCAGCCTGCCCTATATGGTGAAACCCCATCTCTATTAAAAATACAAAAATTAGCCAGGTGTGGTAGTACACACCTATAGTGCCAGCTACTCAGGAGACTGAGCCAGGAGAATCGCTTGAACCTGGAAGGCGGAGGCTGCAGTGAGCTGAGATTGCACCACTGCACTCCAGCCTGGGCAACAGAGCAAGACTCCGCGTCTCAAAAAAAAAAAAGCACATCTAACCAGAACCAGCCATGTTTATGCCCCATTTCCCGCTGTGCCTTTGTCATAGGAGGACCAGGCCAACCAGACCCTGGCTCGATATAGGAAGACGGTGCATGAGCTGGATGATGCCGAGGAGCGGGCCGGCATAGCAGAGACCGCCCTAAACAAGCTGCGCACCAGACACCGCGTGGCCGGCAAGGGCATCACCTCCGTGGAGATCATCCAGGTGTCCAAGACAGGCACCTCAAAAACCCTTTCTGAGGAGTGAGGCCCTCCGTTTCCTAGGCCACAGCCGGTAGGTGTGTACTCCACTCTGGATGACCTCACTCAGAGCGCTCGTTGCCTGCACCAGCTCTGCTCCTAGTAGTGGTACTATGTGACTCAGCTGTAGTCCCCCTGCTCCCCAGCTCCAGTCTTTGTCATACCCAGTCTCATGCAACAGCAACCCCAAAGCTCTTCCCCTGCCTCTTCAGCTGCAAAACTCCTCTAGATTCTCACAGCCCTCAGGTGGGGTGCTGTTCACCTGTATCACAGGTGCTGGTCGACCTGATGTTCCCCCAAATGCATGGAAGGGCAGTTTCCACATGTGATGCCACTTGACACTACCCCTGGAACCTAGGTGCTTAGTACCAGTCACAGGGACATCCACAAGTTTATGGCAATGTATGTTCGTCTTTTGCATCCCCCACAATATCATTCTTCACTGGAGATTTCATCAATCCTGGTTGAATTCAGGCCTCTAACACTAAGAAAATGATAATTATCATCATAGCTACCATTCCTTGAGCACTGAGTGCAGGTGGGATTTTAGGGTAACAATTTAAAATAGTCCTTATTCCCCTTAATTCAGAACTAACCAAGGACAAAAAATGTTGGTGATATCATATATAAAAGTTAAAATAGGCTGGGCACAGTAGCTTGTGCCTGTCTATCTTAGTTCTTTGGGAGGCTGAGGTAGGAAGATGGTTTAGGCCCAGGAGTTCAAGACCAGCCTGGGGAACACAGTGAAAACCTGTCTCTACAAAAAATAAAAAAATTTTAAAAAGCCAGCCATGGTGGTGCACACCTGTAGTCCCAGTTACTTGACAGGCTGAGACGAGAGGATCCCTTGAGCCCAGGAGTCCAAGGTTACAATGATCTATGATCGTACCACTGTTACACTGCATTTCAGCCTGGGCAAGAGTGAGGCCCCATCTCAAAGAAAAAAAAGTCAAAATACCAGTTTTATTATGCCATAGTTCTAGATTGAGGATGTGGCTTTCACATGTGTCCACTATACGCAACATCATACTTTGCCTCAAAATTAAAGACACCTGAAACCCCAATGCTACTAAAAATACAAAATTAGCCAGGCATGGTAGCTCATGCCTATAATCCTAGCACTTTGGGAGGCCGAGGTGGGTGGATCACCTGAGGTCAGGAGTTCAAGACCAGCCTGGCCAACATGGCAGAACCCTGCCTCTTTAAAACAAACAAATACAAAATTAGCCAAGCATGGTGGCACATGCCTGTAATCCCAGCTATTCGGGAGGCTGAGGTACTCAAATTGCTTGAACCCAGAAGGTGGAGGTTGCAGTGAGCCAGCTGAGATCGCGCCACTGCACTCTAGCCTGGGCAACAGAGCAAGACTCCGTCTCAAAAAAAAAAAAGATAACCTGCAGAACTGAACAACTACAGGCTTGATCCCTGGGGAGCAGCCACTTTCCCAGTAGAGGAACAATCAGAATTCATCATCCCTGGGAGTAGATCTAAAAGGAGACATTAGATGGGGCTCAGTCCTGCCTTCCTAGTTCCTTATTCCAAAAACAAAATCAATCACTCCTTTTCCACGGACAGAAGCAAAAGAAAAATGAGGAGTAAGGCACAGAACATGATTCTGGAGGAGTGGATCCCAAAACGTGGTCCTGAGACCAGCCGTATCAGTGTCGCCTTAGATGTTCTTAGAGATGCCTATTCTTAGGCCTGGCTCCAGACCTACTGCATCAGCAGCTCTGGGGGTGGGCCTGGCATTTGTGGTTTAGCAAGCCCTCCAGGTGACTCACATGCGTGACTGAATTTGAGAACCACCCAGAAACGTGGAGCCAGGGTACAGAGAGTTCTCCTTTAGCAAAAGCCAAGTGCTAAGAAAGAGAAGAAAACTCAAAGGGCTGGGCACAGTGGCTCACGCCTCTAATTCCGACACTTTGGGAGGCCAAGGCAGGAGGATCACTTGAGGCCAGAAGTTCGAGACCAACCTGGGCAAGGTAGCACAACCCCATCTCTGCAAAATATGTAAAAAGTTAGCATGGTGGTGGCTAAGTGCATGGAAAATGCTTTTCACTCTCTTTTTTACCCTACAAGGTAGGTATAAATATTCCCATTTGTCAGGTGAGGAAAATGAGCTTGGAGAAGTTCAGTGACTTGCTCATGGTCATACACACCCTGTGCTATAAAAAGGCAAGTTATCTTTTATTTGAGTTACTGTGGAGATTGATACAGTTGCCCTCTGTGTGGGATTAACCAGGGCAGCCCAAAATCAATGACTTGGTTCACTCTGGGAGGAGGGTGGGGCTGAACCTAAGCACTGACCTCCATGGCTTCTAGGAATTATATTTGGCCTCATTGAATCAACATATTGTTGAATGAAGCCCCTGCTGAGGAGGGTAAGTTTCCCTGCTCAGTTATGATTTGTTGTCTTTCAGTAATGGTGGTCAGATTGGGTTTTAGCCAAAAGCGATAACCCTAATGACCTTCGATTCGAAGCTGAGCCTTATCTGATCGTTTGCTTAGGGAGGAGATAAAATATGGGGCACAGAATCTTTTTCTGAACTTTGTAACCCGGAAATAATCGTTAGCGCAGGAAGTTAAGGAAATCAGAGGCTTGTCTCTGTATTAATGTGTAACCATCTCCTTTCAGGGCAAAAACCTCAAAGGGATTCCACCCACTGAGCTCCGACCTAGGTGAGGACTACTCATAAGAAGTCACGCCCAGGCTCAGGAGGCAGTTCAGCTCCTTCCACCAAGTCTTAGGCTCCAGGATTAGACATCCTTTAAAGCAGGACCCTGCTCTGGCTTGGCTGGACCTGGTACAATTGCTCTGTCACAGCAAGGATCTACTTCCATGCCATGCCATCAGGCTGCCATCCTGCCACCGGCACTCTGGGGTAATGAGGCTGTGTCTCTGGGGTCTACTTTCCATGTCCTGATCCATCTTTTTTATTTTTTAAATAAGCCAGGCATGGTGGCAGGTGCTTGTAATCCCAGCTACTCAGGAGGCTAAGGCAGAAGAATCGCTTGAACCTGAGAGGCAAAGGTTGCAGTGCGCCACGATCATGCCATTGCACTCCAGTCTGGGCAACAAGAGCAAGACTCCATCTCAAAAAAAAATTTTTTTTTAAAATAAACTAAAAAAAAAAAAAAAAAATTTTAAACATAAAAATAAAATATTTTAACAAAAATGTAAGAGAATAAATAAAATCCTTCACCAGGCAGAGGAAAGAAGGGCATTCCAGACAGAAGGTCCAACACACACAAAAGTACAGAGGTGGGATTTGCCTAAGGGCACAGGCTGGATGAAGTAGATGGGCTCAGGATGAGACCAGAGAGCTGCAGCACAATGGGAGATGAAGCTAACAGGTTAGGGCAGGCAAGGGTGAGGCTGTGAATAGCTCCACTGGATGCAAGTATTCCATAAACTCCATAAGGAAACCTTTTTAATTTAAAAAACCAATTTGTGAGATGTGACATGCAGTAGCTTTTCTTTGGAAGATGTGCACAACACCGTAGCAAAACCCCTCGTGACACATCAAAGGCAGGCTCTTAAGGAGAGGTCTGTATCCCAGGGGACTTCACTCTGGGCCCACTCAACAACTTGTGTGGAGTTAAAGCCTTTTGGGCATATTAAGCCCAAAGAAGGTGTCTCTAAACCCATAAAACCTCATGCAAAACAAGCTAGGTATGACCCAACCCTATCCATTACTAGGAAGGAAGCCTTGGCAGAATCTTCCCCAGCATCTCAGGGAGCTGTCTTTCCAGCAAGAAAGGAGCAAAGACATCAGAACTCCCAGCTCTTACCCACATGGACTTGCTCACTATCTCTCTTTTTCTTCCAGGGTAATACAGATCACAACTACGGTCCATTGAGAGGGAGAAAATATGAAAATGGAAAACTGGGTCTGTCCTGAGAATGTTTACTATGCAAAAGAAAGTGCAAGCCAGAAAGAGACAGGTGGTGAAGAATAAAGAGCACTATGGTGGAAAATGAGCTTGGGAATGTAAATACCCAGTCATTAGACGAATTAAAATGAGTGAGGCTTCTCTGGGACTGCAGTAAGCATTTGGATGATAGTAATGATGGATCTGTTTTCATTGAGTTCCTACATGTTCATGTCAAGGGCGGAATATGTAATGTCTGTGACCCGGCTGTTCTCTACAAAGAATTTCCCATGTTGACAATGTTTAATGTCCCCATATAGCTTAAATAAAAGAAACATAAAAAATAGACCAACTGGAGCTTGTTTTTTTTACAGAAAGGGTCTTGCTCTGTGGCCCAGGCTGGAGGGTAGTGGCACAATCATGGCTCACTGAAGCCTTGAATTCCTGGGTACAGGCAATCCTCCTGCCTCTGCCTCCAGTACAGTATAGTAGCAGTACCGACGTGCTGCTATGCCAGGCTACTTTTTATTTTTCTCACTATGGTGCCCCAGCGGGTCTTGAATTCTCAGGCTCAAGCAATCCTCCCACCTCACCCTCCCAAAGTGTTGGGATTATAGGCGTGAGCCACTACACCCAACTGGGAGCTTGTTTTTTTTTTTGTTTGTTTGTTTGTTTCTCCTTTTGAGACGGAGACTTGCTCTGTCGCCAGTCTGGAGTACAGTGGCACAATCTTGGCTCACTGCAACCTCCACCTCCCAGGTTCACACAATTCTCCTGCCTCAGCCTCCTGGGTAGCTGGAACTACAGGCACATGCCACCACACCCGACTAATTTTTTGAATTTTAGTAGAGATGAGGTTTCATCATGTTGGGCAGGATGGTCTCGATCTCCTGACCTCATGATCTGCCCACCTTGGTCTCCCAAAGTGTTAGGATTACAGGCATGAGCCACTGCACCTGGCCGGAGCTTGTTTTTAAATGGAAAAATTTTCTTTTCCTAAGACTTATCCAAAGGCAATTTTTGCCACTGCCATATAAAAAAGTTCTGTTGTATCCCTATATAGTAATTCACAGGTTTGCTTCTACTGGAAACCATGAAAACAATACAGTATTGGTGAAGTTCTTTCCAAATTGTGAAAGTCTGTATCAGAGAAATGAAGACAAACTAGGTTTCTTAAAGCCAACAAAGTTAACAGAATCTCCGAAGTAGGTCAGGTCCATCCAGCTGATGCTCATAGGGCCCCTGCACGTTCCATCTCATCTCCCAGGATGTTCAGACACCAGTGGGTCAGCTCCGTGAGGGCAGTTTGCTGTTTTGTTCACTGCTGTATCCTAGGCAACTATAGACTGCCAGGGCTGAAGCGTGCACAGAGTAAATACATATAGAGTGAATGAATGACAGAATGTGCTGCCTCCCGGGGCAGTGTCCTTCCTGATACTAACACAAAGTTCTCCCTTCGATCAAGATGAGACCTGCCCCCAAGTGGCGTCTGCATGCTGACCTGGTATTTGGTTTTTGTTTTTTCTTTTTTCTTTTTTTGAGACAGAGTCTCACTCTGTCACACAGGCTGGAGTGCAGTGGCATGATCTCAGCTCACTGCAACCTCCCCATCCAGGGTTCAAGTGATTCTCCTGCCTCAGCCACCCAAGTAATTGGGATTACGGGCACACGCCACCACACCCAGCTAATTTTTATATTTGTAGTAGAGATGGGGTTTCACCATGTTGGCCAGGCTGGTCTCAAACTCCTGACCTCTGGTGATCCACCTACCTCAGCCACCCAAAGTGCTGGGATTACAAGCGGG